GTCCACAGGGAGAAGCCCATTGAAAGTGTGACGGGAGCTGGTGGCCGTATGAAAAAAGTGACGATCGCTGTCAAGAAGCTGCGTGAAGCGGTTTCTCCCTGCCAGGCAGCTGGTGCGGCTTTGGCCGGAGACGGAGCACCCTGCGTTCCTCCAGCCCTGTTAGCCAGCAGGGCTCCGTGCGGGGCAGTAACCCACGGCACCCCCCGCAGCGCGGCACCAGGTGCGTGATTTGCTGTGGGTGTTCAGCGTAGCTTTGAGGTAAAAATCACTGTGCAGAGTTTTCAGTCGTGTAGTAGTTTTATAATTAGGGAATTTTTTGTATTCTGGTACTGCGAAGATCAGCACTGTTTCAAAAGTTGTGTTTGTTTGTTTGTTTTCCCAGACTGTGTTTTACACACAAAAAGCAACTTGTGCAGCGTGAGGTGATCAGTCAGAGCTCCGTTAACAGAACTCTAGTCTTGTCTCCAGATTCCTAGGCTGATTAAATTAGGCAATTATCATCTTCAGAAAAATTATGACCGTCATCGTGACATTTCACAAATATACTGGACAGGAAGGTTTTAGGCAGCATCAGAGGATGAAACAGCATACATGGGCAGGGACCCAAAGAAGAAAGTTAAGAAGATTGATGCCTTTCCAGTCTGTCACAGTTTTTAATCCAGTTTGTAGCTCTTTTTAGACACCATATCTATCTCTTTATTTTTATTCCCAAAGTATAGTCAGCAAGCAAATCTGTGCTTAACAGAATATTGCTCCTGCTGACAGACAGCTTTGAGTAGTCCCAATATTTGGGCTGCCTTTGGGTTTTCATGGAATTTTGTGAATTATTTTGTGGTTTTATACTGGAAGAGGGGTCAAAAGTCTTTTAAACACTTCTCCTCTTTCTCTGCTTCTTTAAAGATGATTTTTTCTGGGGAGCTTGAGCTAGTAGATATTCAAGCTATCGCTGTACAATCTTGCCTTTTTAAAGAAGTGTTTATTGGACACTTGAAAGGTAATAAATATTAAATGTTGGAAGGAGGCATTCTGAGAAAGTAATTCAGCTCTAGTCTTTTTTTAATTTGCAGAGATTTTGCAGGTTTTATGGAACAATGTGAGTTTCGGAGCTGGTCAGTTAAACAACTATTCAAAAAACTTGTAGTAAAAAAACCAAGTTTCCCTGCTATCTACCATAGCTTTGAATTGTACTTGTTAAAATAGTTTTTCTTCCCTTGTAGTCTTGGAAAACAAACAAACCAACCAACCCTACCCCTCCTAAACCCCACCTGTTTGACACAAAGAACATACACTGATCAACTGCCTGTACCAATGAAGCTCACATAGATGAGTAAACAAAATTAAAAAAATAAATGGCATCCTTTTCTGTAACTTTTTTTAAAAACTGTAGTACTGTTAAGTAAATAATTTAAAGTCTTTTTTTAATAGAATGAGACTGTAGTCATGTACCATGTACTCTTCAAATTCAAAACTGACACAATCTGCTACTTATCTTGTCAGATAGAATATTCATTTTGTTTCTTTAAAATACATATCGATTACAGTCTTAGGAGTTTGGGGAAGGGATTTTAGTCTTTTTGGGGTCAACGTTCAAACAGCTTCAAAAGATGTTATTTTTATAGTGTTAGGATGACATATTAGTCTCTGACATAACTAAAATACGTGCTGTCCTCAGTGTCCTTCTTCTGTAAGATATGTTATCATAAAATTATAATTGTCTGTCTAGACAAGTAACCTTCTATGTTCCTATGATCTTTAGACTTGAATTTGAGCTAGACGTTGTCGATTTTTTTAATGCTCTGTTTTTCAGAGACTTTTTCATATATTGTAAACCAAGTCTATAATCCAGGCTCACAGAATTCATTAATGTTTGTAAGCTTCAGCTTGATGGCTGTGATCATTTGTGTTATGAAAGTCATTATGTTTAGATATTCAAAGGTACGGGCAGAGGAAATGCTGAGATTTGGGTTAGTCAAGATATTCTGAAAATGCATAACAAATCCTTATGATCACAGTAAAACTGCTTTTATTTTAGGAGTCCCAAGTACTAAAGGATATCCAGAATGTCTGCTTTCAGTAGAAAATTCTAGAGAGCCCATGTTTTTATCACAAATGGTAAGAAAAGTTACTGTTGCTTCCTGCAATCCTGAACTAAGAGAACAGCATTTTTCTCAAAAAGTTGTAGCTTCTGTAAAAGCATAGCAAATCTTTGGCTCAGCTTCTGCACAATAACTTTGCAGCTGCTTTCCTCTTTGAGTTGCTGCTAATATGATATTAATGCTGAAGTGTTTGGAGGGGCTTTGTTTAATGTGCTGCTACCTGTTGCATAATTAATAGCAAGGCTTGTTTTTAAATTTTAGTGTAATTCTTCCTTTGAAAAGGCGGTTACACATGGCACAATATTTGTTAAAAACCCTAAAACTTTTTGTAGATTTTTTTTTTCTCTTCATATCATAGATAATGAAATGGACATTAGTTTATTTTGGAACTCTTTAATACTTACAATTGAAAGGCATATTTCCTTTTGATTTGTTTGTTGTGCCTTACATAGAGTGGAAACTTGTCTCTAGGGCATCCATATGGTGATAAGCATGCATGAGGATAAAATTAACCCATGCTGTGAAAGGATGGCAGCAATGTCTCTGCATGGCTCAAAGTAGACCTAGTGAGCTGAACAAAAGTCTCAAAAGTATGGTGGAGTACTCCACCATCAAGTAGGGTTAAGTAAGAGATTTTTACCTTCCTAACTTGCCTTTATGACTCGTCATAGACTTTGATTATTCATGGATTCCACTTCAAGAAAATTCAGCTCTGTCCCTTCAGTTCCACAGTCAGTGTTATGAGTGCTTAATTCTGTAATCCTGAATTGTTTGAGATTGGCAACTTATATGAACTTAAACACGTGTAGTTTCACTTCTACTTCTTTGGCCATAAATTAGGAGAATACACTTAATCAGCACATAGAATATATACTTTTAATTTGAATTGTGTTTCTAGGGGTTTTGTCCCTAAAATGTCATGTGAGTTCTTGACTACGAAGTCCAGATGATTCTGCGGTAAAGGTCTTAACATGTTTTGTTTCAAGACCTTGTGTTAGTATGTGGAGATGCTTATATTCGTGTATTCAGCAATTCCATCTGCTTCTAAAATTTTGGCCGCTGATACCAGAGGCTTTAATGTATGCTTTTCTGCTCTTCGTGTTCTCTAGGATTGTCCTAGAGAAGCTGCAGTACAAGAAGATCCTTCACTGCTACTGGAAGATAGCAGACGACCTAAAGGTAAGATACACTGATGTACTCCTACAGCCCCTTTTTTGTAAGAAAACTGATTAATTAGAGGAAAAGGGAGCTTTAATTTTATCTTAGGTATTTTTCTTCAATATAGAAACTTTTGAGTGAAAATATTCAAAGGTTTCTTTGATAAAAAGGTGATAATTGTAATTTACATTCTTAAATTTTGCAACTTTTACTTCAGTCTTGCTGGCATTATGCTAGCTTATGTAGCTCTTGTGATTAACTCACAGGGACTTCTACCAGTGCACCAGAATGTTGAGATTCCTTTTGCTGATCGAACTATTCATGTCTCTGAATAGAGAACTAGGGGGGGACCTTGTTTGGATGCATTTTCCTGTTGTGAGTAATTGTACTACAAATGCATATTTTTCCCCATAAAAAGTATATTTTTAATCCTTAAGGATCTAAGAAATAACATTGTTGATGCCTTTTCCTTTAACTTCTGAATCTGCCAGTCAGTTTCAATCAGATATGGGGAAGTGAAGACTTTTTAAAGAAAATACACTTCTGCAGGTTTCTTGGATATCTGTGGCTGTGTAGAGGAAAGAAATACTCCCATTTAAGGCCAAAAATCAATACTTTAGTTTTGTCTTTTACGCTCACAGAGGCAGCAGCTAGCTGGCTTATCAGCATGCATGTACTAGGTGTGTGTAGTCAGCAGTAGAGAAACACTGAACCTGCCACGTCTTGGGTAGTTACCTCTGCCCAGCAAACAGTGGATGAAGGACAGCCTGCAATCCTTTTAGCGTAATTTAAAGCTATTAAGAAAATTTGTTGTAATTTGTGATGACTGCGGGGAAATATTCATATCACAGTTCTATTTTTTTTTAATTAAACTTTTTTCAAGTTAGAATTTGCAGGCTTTTATTGAATGGGTTGTCTGAGCTCAAGTTACCATTTATATGGCAGTTTTCCTCAAATTTTATGAAGGTAAGGTATTGTCATTTTCACAGCATACCAAAATAGATTTTATTAATATTAACATGCAATACTAAATAAAACTCTGTTAAATGAAGCTTATGCTGACTCTCATCATGATTTAATTCTGCTACTTAGTGAAGGGAAACAGTTTGTTATTGCAATAGATAAAGTGGTTTGCGCAGGCAACAGATTCTTCACAGCAAATTTGTACATTGTTGTTGAAATAATGCTTTGTGTCTACCTCTAAAATAGACATTTCATGTCAGTTAACCTGGCAAAGTACATTTTATGTCTTCCCCACAGATGATGTTTTTATTTCTCAATATGCTACTGGCCAGAAAGAGGCTTTGAGAGCTGTGTTAAAGCAAAAGTAAGTATATGTTGTTATCAGTGTCTCAGCTGTTCTGTTTCTGTACAGATATACTACTATACTACTCCTTCAGTTTCTGCCAAAATGCATAGCTGGTAAGGAAAAAGTATTCTTTATTGTTGTCTGTTAGTATTCTTTTTCTGCCTACGAAGGTGTTTTCAGTTTATTTTATCATTCAGAGCTCACTGGAGTATCTTGTTTATTTTGCATATTTTTGGTAACGCTTTTAGACTATCTGAATTAATGATTTCATGATACAAGAGTCAGGCAAGATCTGCTCTGATAGATGATTCGTTTCGTGCCAAAACCATATAATATTTTTAAAGACAGGTAAGGACACATGCTGTTTATCCATAGGCTGGAAATCTTGAAGATTGGAAGTTTAGTTGGACTTTGCTACTAGTACATTGAACTGTGCAAAATACAACCTGTAAACATATTCTTTGTTGTGGTTGCAGTTATCACAGGGAGATGCCTTTTATATTAGAATCTGTTACATAACCCTGAGAAATTTCTTGTGTCATGCTAAAAGATGAGAATAAAATTGTTTCTTAGGTGTCGAGAGCTTCAAGGAGAAATGCTTTTGTAAGAAGTGATATCAGTGCTACATGTGGGAAATCATTTGCTTGGAGGGGATATGGAGAAAATAATGCTATTTACAGGCACTTGTTTATTTTTATAGAACTCAAAATACTCCTGTACTTAAGGAGGTGAAGGTACAGCTCTTAGGAAATGCCTCCACAGAAAAAAAGGAAAGTGTTGGTCAAGACACCAGGTCAACACACAAGGAAGTTGATTCTGCAACAACGATTGCAGCAGCAACTGCTGCTGCCATTGCTACGACAGGTCCGCTTCTTAAAGTGAGTAAGTAGCTTGTGGTAATATTAGTTTTTTATCCACTTAGAATAGTAGATATTGAAATTGTTGGTAGTAGAGCCAGAGAGACTGAATGAGTCTGCTTACTGTTTTCTTCGCGATAGTGATCTCAGACTTATTGACCAATATATCAGAGAGAACTAATTTGGATTTGGCTAAATGGGCAAATGGACAGGGACCATGTGATTCATCTTTTAGAAGAATTTTATAGTATTGCTAAATCACTAAACATTAGGGCTAATTGGGATTTTATTTGTTTCTTTTGGGAAGCAAATCATTCCATGATGATGGGAAGGATGTTTTGTTCTCTTCTTGCTTGCACCTCTTTTGCAGTAAGGTTTTTTTCCTTTTTTTTTTTCCTCCCAGGTTCAAAATGAATTGGAAGCAAAAGTTAACTCAGTTTCAGCATTACTTCAGAAACTACAGGAGACAGACAGACAACTGCAGCGTGTTGCTGAACAGCAAACAAATACAAGGACTCAACATGAGAAACCCCGCTGTCATGAAAGAGTCAGTGAGCTTGAAAAACAAATGAATGCTTTCATGGTGCAACGGATTCAGCATTTGGAAAAGTTACAGGAGCAACAAATGAATATTCAGGTATCTAAGTAACAATGCAGAAGCCTTAGCTTAATCGTTTCTTCTATATCTCAGTGTTAATGTTATGATAATTTGGATTATATCTTAGTATTAGAAAGAAAGAAAGAACCAGTGGCCAGCACATGAGTTTTTTGGAAAAAGTTTTATTTCTGGTTCTGTCCCGGATATCTGCTCCCCTCCCCCCCCTAATTTTTGTGTCTGTGGAAAGTAAATGCAAAAATTGTGAAATGTTCTCGTTCCCACTAGATTGTTTAGACCTTTGTTAATTGAAGAAACTTTCATTTAGTAAGTAGCCAGTCTAAGAAGAGTTATAAATTGTTTCTTCGGAGAGTCCTCCATGCTTTTTTGAAAGGCAGAATCATGTCCAAGCACGTCTGTGTTGCAAGATTGTTGTAAATGACTTTTCTCTCAGATAGCATGTCAAAAATCTCTTTAATATGATTACATGGCAAGTATTCATGTTTAGAGTTTTACTTGGGAAACTAATGCATATATCAGAAATACTTTGTAATTTTGTCTCTTAGTCTCATCTCATTAGCTCTGCAGTCAACACGGTTGGCTTACAGCAAATTCATGTACCTTCCTCCAATCTCATGACAAAACAATCTGAGAAGCCAGAACAGCGATTACTTACTAACGAAGTATCTTCATGTCAGAGGGGTTTATTTCCTACCAGTGGTCTACCTGCCCAAGGTGAAGACAAATTCTTAATAGCTTACTTTTGGTGTTAGTTTTTCATTAATTTTGTTTCCATTAGTAGTGGAATGTGCATGACATCAGTAATGAGTAGTAAACATTTCTTTTGTATAATTGATTTTATTGCGTAGTATACTAAACAACTTATACCATTTATTCTGAAAATGTTCCAGTTTGAATTAAAGTGAGAGTTTGGTATTTACTGAGTGCTTAGTCTGCACCAAGAGAGGCCTAGACTTAATCTAACATAATTTTACTGAAAAATAATCTATGTGGAAGTTTGTAATGAACTAACTCATACTATGGTTGGCTTTTTTTTTTTGATCCCTTTATAATAGCACTTGGAAGTATGAAATTTTCTTCCTGTTTACTTTTTTAACTAGTTCTGTAATGTTTTGCATTTTTGTGAAAAATTCATGATGTTGGCATGTTTGTTTCCTCTAGATTTGTTTTCCTGCGAAGAAAATTGTTAACATTGAAATAACGTTAATTTTTTTTTTTACCCTGTAGCATATTCAAGCCAATTTCAAAGTTGTGGCATTCATACACAAAAATCTCCTTTAAAGACACCAGTTCCTCGGAGATATGCTCCAGAACCTGTATCAAAAAATGTGAATGTCTCAAAAAATGTGAAAATCTCATCTGCAACACAAAAGGAAAATGTTTACAAATCCACATGTGAAGGTATTGTGAGTAAGACACTCCTGTCCTCCACTGGCAGGAATAGTATGGCCTGGGGTTTACTTTGTGTGGTCCTCACCTATTTTGAGCTGTTGGGTTGCTGGCACTTAAATACATATATTCAGAATATTTGAAAGTACGTTTGGGGAAGGTTAATTTTGTGCATAAGTCACTCTTAACTAACTAAAGACTTAATGACAGTACTGATCTAACCTATAGCTTCTGGACAGAATTTCTCACTGAAATATTTTCTCAGATGAAAAATCAAATGACCATTTTTGTCAGGTTAAGGAAAATTATATAGAATAATGTAAAACTTTGGAGCTACTCAATAACTTTGTCATTATCATTGGTTGAATTGGAATTTTTTTTCCCAGAACCATGGATCCACAGTGTCTGTGGGCTATCGTAATAAAAACAGCATGTATAAAGCAAATATGAAGTAATTTTCTTTTACTGCTTTTGATCAGTGTAGTGGCACGAAACTCAGTTTTGAACATTTCCTGAAAAAATAAAGCATCTTTTATTAGTTGGTTGTGTTTAGAATTGTTTGAGGATCTAAGATTGAGGAAGAACATTTAAAAGATCTAGCCATTGTACTTTAACATCATGGACAAAATGCCTGTTTATGTCTTTATCAGATCCTTCTCAGACTGCTGCTTCTACCTCTCTTTTACAAAGCTGTCACGTATTCCTATAGTTTCGTGGGTCCAGGAATAAATGAAACGAGACAGAGGAAGAAAAACATATCTGTGACATTATGGACAGAATGTTTCTTTGTGACTCAGTTAATTGCCATCACAGTTTCATTCATTCATACATGCTAACGTAAAGCATAGTAAGATAGATTGGTGTGAGTGGTTTTATGTGGCTTGTATCATCTGAAGTAAATCTGTATTTTAAAATTTAAAATATTATTTTTGCTATCCGTGGTGATTATTATATAATGGTGAAATATCTGGAAAGGAGAAGAAAGTATTAAATACATTGAACAAACTTAGCAGTAAATGTCACTTTCTTTTTTTCTGCCTTAGGTGAAGGGAGACTTCTTGAGCATATTCTGAATTCTCAAGAAATGCCACTGAGGCAAACGGAGTTTTCCGAGAAGGCAACATTAAACAGTAATAAAATGAGCTGGCATTCTGAAAGAGACAGGTAAATAAACGTAACAATCCAAAATTGAGGAAGACTTTTTGATTGTTTTAATGGAATCAGGAAAGGTGTATTAGATATTGATGGTGTAATAGAATCACTGGTCTGGTCCTTGAGTCTGACAAAGCTGTGCTTGAAGTAAAAACTGGAGCACTGGTACTTCTATGCTACTTCTGCATTTCTGTCATACTGAAGGTAGATGAAAGCTCGTTGCTAAGGATACGTAACACCTTTCTCAGAGGTCAGTGGGTGTCGCTTGGAGTGCTTTTCTGTCTTCTGAGTATATTTCTTCTATTGTGAAGAGCAGTGTCAGGAAGCCAGCTATACAGGCATTGTGTTAAAGTGGAACTGCCCTTGTCAGTGAGACTCCAAGCTGCCTGCTTATGGGAGCTGTATGACAACACTTTGTTGGGGAGGGAGCAGATCAGCCTACCAGTTTCTAAGTTTTAGAGTGAGTTAGGAAATTTTTTTAGCCATCCTGAAACACATTTTCCCAGGCAATAGTTTGATGTTATAATTTCACTAATATAATGAGAAACAGCTATATAGATACTGTCTTATTTATGATAGTATAGACAAAAATATTGCTTCAAATGGAAAGGTATCCAAAGTTTAAATGTTGCTCTGTTCGATCTGAATTTTAGATGTAGTTTCACTGTTCAAAATACAAGGATACAGCTCAAGGCGTTAAGTAGTAAACAGAGAAAACCCAATAACCTGTCTAACCTCAGGTGAAAAAGCAAATTCCATTTTATATAAAGGTTTGATATTCTTGCACTTTAAATTCATGCTCAGTTTCAAAGTTGGCTATTTTCTTGGGCCACATGAGGAGCCATGAGACTTAATCAGGAGTGTTTCTCCCATCAGGCATACTGCTTTGCGTACAGACTCATTCCCTGCTTTTGAAAACTCCTTCCAAAATTGCAGTTCAATTGAGAAAACGGTGAAAAAAGCAGATGATTTACTTCAAGATCTTGGCCAGTTGAGAAGAGAAATGCATGACATGCTACAGGTAAAGTCCACGTTATCAGAATGACCAAGAGTTTGAATAAGGGGAATAAAAAATGTGGAGAAAAACTTAGAGGTCTGGTATCAGTAAAAGAGTTGCCCTTGCTTCTACCTCTGTAAAAAGACTGACATTTGTTTACAATTACTTGAAATATTGCAGTCTTTGTATGTAGAAGGGCTTTGAGCCTGAGTAATGTCTCAATGAATATGCAATGGACTAGATTGTAGAGGCTTTTACTGCCATTCTACCAAACACAAAACAGATTTAAAAAAAAAAGTGTTTTATTTATTTGTTTGTTTTAAGGTTTCAGATATTTTCAGTGCCTGTTTTCTGTTTGCTCTCTTCCTGAGATACTAGAGCTACAGAGCTGATGTAACATTCCCATTTGGGAAAAAACAATGTTCTATTTATCTGCAGTCAACTTTAGGGATGACTTAAGCTACTTCCTTTCTCATTTTGCCATTTCTTTTTGTAAAGAGTGCTGTTGCCAAAGAATTGCCTGGCATACATCATTGTATTGTTTCTCATGCTAATGATTTTGTACCTTTGGTGCTAGAATGGTTCTGTGCTGGCAACACGTAACTTGTGTCTGGCTTTTGAAAATTGAGGTTTTTATCTGTTTGTTAAACTGGTGCCACGTGGAAGCAGGGTATACCTGCTCATTTAGCCTGCCTGCTGTGGTCCTTTCTGTTCTTGTAAATGTAAGCGGTGGGAAAAGAAGAAAGACTTGAATATCCACAGGTTTGTGAATTGGCTTGGAACATAATAGTTCTGATTCTATTGGTTTGTTTCTGTGGTTGAAGGTTTCAGCTTGCATATTTCCCTAAAAATACTGTGTATTACGTGCCAGTTATTTGTTACTGTGTCTTTAGAAAACATAGCTTCATCTGTCATATCTTATAGTGTAGCTGATGCATTGTTTCATAGATTTTGTAAGATATTAGTGGATTGCACGTTTAACTGTTCTTACTAATAAGAGAACTGATGCCATGTGCCCCATTTACATTGCAAATATTTGCTTGCCACTATTGCTAAAAACTTACATTGAATAACACACCTTAGTATAGGCAGCACAGAACAGGACAAGATGGGAGAAGGAATGGCAGGTGAGAAAGACACGGTTGACATAAATGGATTCAAATATCTTCTTCTTTCTTATGAAAAAGAAGGAATAGGAATAGGAAGCAATAGGAAGACAGGGTAGATGATTTCAGCAAATATGGAGTTGAGTCAATTAGATACTTAGCTACTGACTTCTCATCATTGAGAGATATGTAAAGTGAGAAAATAAATGCTTGGGATAAATGACCACTAGCTTTGTCATGCAAGCAAATGAAAGGCCTGAATTAACTGAGGTAGGTTGAGATGGAACAGAAGGTGGTGCTCTAATCCCAAAGAAGCGTGCAGTGAGATTTAGTAGTTCACAAGGAATTCATTGTGCTCATTTAAATTGATCAAATATCTACTCTAGATTTTACTTTTTAGGTAAGTTTCAACAGCTCTTCTTCTGCCTTTTTAGGAAGCAAATTCATGGAAATCAGACATGAATGATCTTATTAAGGTATACCTTGAATTTTTATGGTTTTGGTTTTTTTTTAAATACTGTAATACCGAAATGGTTTTGAATATGCTTGCAATGAGATAACACTACAGTAACTATTGCATACCTGTATTTTTTTGAAAAAGTTGCTATTATGTACAGATTACATTACTCAAAGTAAGTTTTAACTTGTTCTTTGATTTGTCTTATTCAATCTTAGTGAGCTATCTTGAGGGAATAATACAAATGCCTCGCAGAAAGCTGCTGCCTCAAAACGGGCATGGTGTGGACTGCTAATACAATTACCATTTCATGGTCTGAGTCTAATTGGCAAGCCTACATCATTTTGCGGTTGAATGTGTATCTGTATTTCTTACATTTTCTCACAAATTTCACCTGTCTTATTGAGCTAGTTTTTGTCAAAAAGTTTAATTTTAAAACGCAAACCTATATAAAATTGGTAAATAATTCAGTATATTGTCTTTTTCTCACCAGGCAAAACCAAAATCATGGGATCAGTGCGTTGATTTCTATTTTGTTATGTGCTTTGGCAGTACATGTGTTAGAACATAAACTTCTGTTTAATTCTGATTTGACAAAGGAGCAGCCTTAAAGCCAAAACTGATTTTTGATCTGTGAGATTTTTTTCTGTTCATTCAGTTAATGCTTTCAGAGTCTACTCAAGTTTGGGTATTTTGTTTTTGTTTTGGGGTTTCTTTTTCTTTACGTACATGTATCACTTTTTTTATTTTTTTGCTTCCTTTCTGGAAAATGGAGCACTCTATTTGGGGCCCTCTAGGTTTCATCAGGAATGTGAGAACTATAGCTGTATGACTCCTTGTTTCCCGTGTACTTGTGTCCCTTCCTTTTATATTTAGCAGCTCATATATGCTCGATTTTTATCTCTGTAAAAGGGTTCTGCAAAGTAAAAAGCTAATAGTTGCTTTATTGTGTCTTATAAAAAGTAAAAATCAGTGAAGGGGGAGAGGATTGTGGTGCTGTTGAGGGGTTTATTATGTTGTTGTTAAAACTTACGTATATTGCCTGGTGTTTCTTGGGATAGATTGATGCCAAATGAGTGCATATATTTAGAGGACTTTGGGTTTTATTATGCTTTTAATTATACTTAAATACTGTTACATGGAAAAATTTGCATGTCTTACTTCGTGTATCTAATGCATCTTTTCGCACGCTTATTTGCTTCATTGGCATTGCTTCTCATACATTATACCATTTGGCATTTGAGAGCTTTTGGATGTCTTTCCATTTGCTTAGCTTTTAAATATATTTGCAACATACTGAATGTTCTTGAGTAATTGAAGTTGATGATAGTACACATGGATGGTATTTCATATGATGTGTATTGATTTGATGATAGATTAATAGGAATTCTGATCAGTGTGTAGAAAATTGAAATTACAATCTCTGATTAAAAGCTAGCGGTTCTGCTTCAATTTTAGTCAAAAAACCCTACTGTTGCATCTGATCTTCCTGAACATCATCAGCTCAAAAAACCATCCATCCTTCAAAATGTTAAAGTGCCAAAATCTATACTGAGGGATGCTGAAAGGATTTTGAGAGGAGTTCAAAACAATAAAAAAGTTCTTGAAGAAAATTTGGAAGCTGTTACTCACGCAAAAGATGGGGATGCCATGTATACTTTTATTAATGCCTTGACTACAAACAGGTTAGACCCTATTATTCAGTGCTTTGTGTGACTGCTCATTGTATGTGCTCACCTTTTATCAACTCTCTTTCAATTTTTTTAATTCCGTGCATTGAAGAACTAGTGCAGTTCCCTGAAAAAAGTATTTATTGATTCTTCTTTGGAATCATGAGGTGATTCTCTTGAACATCAAATGTTTTTTGACCCTCCTGATGTGAATTGAATTTTTTGATGGATACCTGTTACTTCTTGGTATGATCTATGCTCCAGAACTTAAATCTGAATTCTGAGACTATCATCTGGACAAACTGCTCTGCTGTCATGACATCGGTGCTTTTAGCTTTTTATAGACAAACTTGCATTAATAGGAAAATTAAGCAGTAATTTCATAACTCTAAACAGAATAGGCTTCATTAATCTGTAAATGTTACAGAATTAGTCATCCTACAGCAGATCTTTGGCTTTTGAACTTTTGCTTAGTTAGTTGTGTTAAATACTCCTGTTGGAATCATAATGAAAGTTTTCCTATTAAAATGCTCCTTAATCTTGTGTTTTCCTGAGGAAGGTAACTATTCTCTTCATGTAAACGTTTTTTCAGGCATGGTATCTGCTATCATTATCTTTTAGAGGAAGTAGTAATTTTTGTCATCTGCTTTTTGTCTTTTGAGTTGGAATGATTTTGTTGCCTTGTTTTTTCAGTTTTTGATCAAAATAGGAACTGACACATGGCTGCCACTTATTCATAGATGTTTGTAATAATGATAGTATATACAAGCCGGGGGTGGGGTTTGCAGGTAGCATTATGTAAGAACAGATTTAGGTTTGGGAAACTCAGGATAGGGTATGCTTAGTGCCTTTTGGAGACTGTAGGGGTACATAATCTTACTCTCTCTGTGTTCTGGGTTTCTCTTTTTATGGTGTTTATAGGTCACTACTTTCCCAGGAACAAATCTATGCAATTTAAGAAGCACTGACTTAAAATAGTTCCTTCTTCTGTTTCAGAGATGTACTGGAAGAGATTCGTATCAGAAAGACTGTGGATGAGTGGATTAAGGCAATCAGTGTAGAAATCCAGGTATGGCTGGAAAAAATGAGTTCAGGTTTTTGCATTATATTTTTCCACATGACATTGTTCTTTCAATGGCAACAGTTAAACATGATTCACTCACAATTTGAAAACGTGAGAAAACTGCTTATTATTACTAGGATGTAGTATGCTATAATAAAATATTTACCTCTATTTTTAAACTTTCATTGCTTAATGAAAATCACTGGTCACAATTGCTGGCTAACATGAAAAACAGGCCATTTCTCGGAACTTCAAAGTTATCCACAGACTCTTCTGATAGCCTTGAAGATAAAATCTCCTTTTATTATGTCCATGTTTTATCTTCAGGCCGAAATGGCAAGAAATGATTTGGAACAAGTGAAATATGATAAAAAGATCTCATGGATCAGGAGAGCCCAAAACATCAAGCCTATGAAGACCAATAAAGAAATTAAAGGAAAAACGCAAAAAATCCAAGGATGCTTGACAGAGAAGCCTTTATCTGCAGCTAAGCCATTGCAGAAGCAAGCAGAAGATAACACAAGCAAACACACAACCACAAAGAGGTTTAGAACTTACTTTTCTTCTGAAAGTTTGCAGAGGAAAGAAAAAAGGGCAGCTGTGAGTTCCCAAGTAGTTGGTTTCTTTTTTGGTAACGACTGCTATACTTTAGATTGCAGTATTCATGTGAAAAATTGTTCGTATGTGTAACTGTAATAATTTTAAATGAAAGTGATAGCCCTGTCCTGTGGATTTCTGTTGTCAGAATTGTCCTTGTTTTCATGTTCTGTAGAAGCCTAAGCTGAGTATGTATGACAATGTCATGTTATCAATATGTCCTACCCAGCACCTGCTCTTTTATTCAGCTGTTAGTAAGCTGCTTCTATGTATTCTGTACACATAAGTTTTCATGTGTGCTTGCAACTGTTTGTTGCAGAACTTCTTACTTTTTTCCCCTCTAGACTTTTGCAACACTACAGATGCGTTCAAATTTTCATACATGAGGAATTGTAAACTACTTTTTTTTTTTTTTTTGGTGTGTGTGTCAGGCACCTGTGAATGGAAGTGCAGTGGTACAAAATGAAGACTATCTGTGTCAAGTTTATGGGAAACCAATTTACCAGGGCCATCGTAGCACGCTTAAAAAAGCACCGTATCTGAGATTCAACTCTCCCTCTCCCAAATCTAAACTTCAAAGACCCAAGGTGATAGAGTGTGTTAGAGGTAAGTAATTCCTTGATGTGAACAAGGTGTTCCTTCCCAGTTTTTCTATTAGGAATTCCTTGTATAAATGAAACTATTCAATGGTAGTTCACCTGCTCTTCAATTTAAAGCTTAAGCAACTGCAGTAGGCTTCCTAGAGAGGTGGTCGATGCCCCATGCTTGCCAGTGTTTAAGAGGCATTTGGAAAACGCCCTTAATACCATGCTTTAACTTTTGGTCAGCCCCGAAGTGGTCAGGCAGTTGAACTAGATGATCATTGTAGGTCCCTTCCAACTGAACTATTTTATTCTAAAAGATGCTCTTTCAAAACTGAAAAATACCAGTAGGTTTTCAGATTTGCTTAGTGTGGATCTCACTTATTTTAGATTATCAAATTAATACTTATTTCTAAATTTAATAAACATATTAATATATATTTATTGTTGCCCAAGTCTTAAACAGCTGAATTGCTAGAAATTAATGACATATGCACCTGAAAGCTGAGTGTGTTGAAAAACTAACTCAGCTTTTGATAAAGCTTACTGAGAGATGTATTCTTTGTGTCAGGTTTATCCACTCATGTCATTTAAATGATTGATTCATTCAGAGTTAAGAAATCTGCTGAGATTTGAAAAATAAAGGAAGCCTGATATTCCATTTCCCGCTTCTAATACATGAATTGAAATATGAAAATTTAAGTTTATGGGTGTGAAGATAACATCTATTAACTTGAAAATATTGAAAGGCATGTTAATCAGAAGCATTGGTTAAGTTCACTAAATGCAAGTAACTTCTTTTGTTAGTCAAGTCAGGATTAAAAGTAGAGTATAACTCTCTTTTGTACTAGCTTGTTAAGGTTATTTAATTGATTGATAAAGGTTATTATTTGATTAATAATGAATTCGATTCATTAGTTTTGTAGGCAAAGTGTTAGGATCAGAAGATTCTAATTTTCAAACCTATTAAAAATGTGTAAAAATTATAAAAAAATGAAACTATATGGTATCTGACATAGGTAAGTGTAGATAAACTTTATCTTGAGTTAGTAGAAAGTAATGTTTTAATTGGATCTATTTTATTTCCTAGTTATTTTTTCAAAACTTAACTGATTCTTAATATAGAAACTAAGATTAGTCTTTAACTGATATGTCAGAAAAACTAATGTGTATCATCTTCTCACTGCGGGAGAGAGTGAGCAAATTACACAATAAAGAATAATGATGGAGAGACAGCATGTGTTAAGTGTAAGAGGCAGTGAAAGTAATAGTGGGCACAATCGAATTAATAGGATGAGCATCAATGGAAAAATATTAGATGGCTTCCCTCTATGCTACTTGCACTTAAGCTGTTGTTATCCATGCAGGGAAAATACACTTGATGCAATCTTAACTGCCATGTTTAAAAAATGGTGTCCCGAGTTTTTATTATAACTGTCAAAATATTATATTCTGTATGAAATATAAGAGATTAACATGAGAAGGCAGTCACTTGATAACACCATGTTTTTAGGCTGTGAAGATGTATGGTATAAAACATATATATGTCTTTGAAGACAAGCACTGCTGGGTTTTGGTTTGTGGTTTTTTGGGGGGGGGGGTTTTGAGATTACTGTGTACATCCACAGTGGCAAATCCTCAAAATAGTACAAGAATCTATTGTTAAGCTTAGCGTAGTCTTTATGCCATTTCCTGGCACTTTTCTTACCTGTGGTCTGGAGCCCAGTTGTGATCCATGAAGAAAAAGTGTTACCAGTAGAAAGTATTTGCAATTCTCATAACCCTCCTAGAAAATGTGGGTTATACTCCTGACAAAAATCTAGATGACTTTTCAAAACTTACTTTATTTTTTAAAAGGTGAGAACTTGGTATATGAAAACTGCTAGTCTTGTTGTGTATGTATGTTATTTGACCTCTCTTGAAACACTTTTTTTTTTGTGAAAAATGCTGGTATACTCATTTGAAGGACCAGCATGATATATCACTCTTTTAGACTACTGGCTATGCTGCACACCTGTAATTTAGTTTATTCTGTACAGACTTTTTTGAATAAAATGTGTGCTAGTAAGCACTTAGTGTAGCAATAACAATGATACAGTGACGTCTAAGATTTGGATTGAGAACAGACACTTCTTTAAAAATAGTTAATCAGCAGTTCTGCTTTTGCCGAGTCCTAAATGACATTTTTCTTCTATATTTATTGGGCTCTTGTCCTTTATAGAAGGTCACAACCTTTCCAGGGAGGCCAATTTCATCATTCCAGAAACAATGCCTTGTAAAGAGGCAGAAAAAGTGCCCCTGCAATCTAATTATAATAAGTAGGTCATTTGATCATTTGATACTGTTTTCTACCGATAACGTGTTTAATTCAGTAGTGTCAGTGAAATGTAAAGGTACAGGTTGCATGCAGTTGTAATAAGCTGCTTGTTTTCTGTTGGAGGTGAATAGAAATGAAAGAGAAAACTCTGTACTGGATCCATGCAGTATTCAATCTTCCAGAACTCCTGCATGTGACAAATACAGTTTAAAATCTATTTGCTTGAAAACAGAATGAACTCTGGATAGCCTTTACCCAAAGTGATTCTCTTCCAAGTCATTAAGTCATACTACAGCAGTACAGCAATATGTGTGTTTGCAATAATAAAGCCGCCATAAAATTCATTTCTCTATTTCACATCAGACTGCAGTTACAGAAAGTTATGTTTTTGTCTCTAACTTGACAGCAAGTAAAATAAGACACCCCCTTGTATTCTTATGTAAGGGAAGAAAGGAAGAATATGGAATTTCTTGCATGTCACTTACAAAAATAGCACTCCAACTAATATGTGTCCTATTTCCGTGTTTTCTGATTTTAATGGCTTTAGACTGAGGTCAGCCTTTGTTTGATACTGGCATTACTTGTCTTTGACTTTTTGTATAAGACAGTTGGTTAAGCTGCTTAATTTTTGTACTTTTCTTTATCTTGCCAATAAAATGGAAAAGTAATGCTTCTGTGTTTCACATGGGTCTCATGAAGACAATAGTTAAATATGTTTGAGGGCTGCTATTCTGAAAGATGCTGTTATGGCAGGAAAGTATAAATAATAAAATTAGAAACAGATCTGTACTCCTCCATAGTAGGTGTGTAAATAAAATGAAACAAAGTTCAATGAGCACTTTAAAGCGCCAGGTTCTTAAAAAAAGAAAAAGAAAGAAATCTTGCTCTCATTAGACATGGTTAGTTCTTTCCTTCACGGATCTGCACCCACAGATTCCCTTCCTGGCCTTGATGTACCAGGTGATAAAGGCTTAAAAATTATTGGAAGTCGTTGGCCTTGGGTTTGATTGGCTGGAAAATCCAGACTTATTAAATGACTCTATTTTGTTAGAGCAGTCCACTGAGCTTGTTTTAAATTAGTGTTAGAGTAAGGATGTTTATTTAAGACTGAAATGGCCATCTGGAGAGTCTCTTTTCAGTCATTTTATAACTCTCTCAACCATTTTCTTTGCAAATAAACTGTAGTGACTAATGCTTGGCTTCTTGTGGGAAATTAAGAAAAAAATCCAACTAACACTTTTATGAGTAAGAGAGCATTTCTAAAAAAAGTTCTTGCATAATTTGAACTGATAAATATATGTAAAACACTAGATTTTTAAAGCTAAGTTTAATTAAATGTCTAATTTCTGCCCAGTGCAAATAAACTTTTCAGGGGGAAATAAAAAGTTGAAAGCAATTAAAATGAGGTGCTGTGTGTATACAGTACTTAATCATTGTTACTGTGAGAACCTTGTTTTTACAAGTTGGCGGTATTACAGATATGTTGCCAATTTCTGCTTTTACTCAAAAGTTGAAGGCCAGGGGGGACTGTTAGATCATATAGTATGACCTCTTCTAAATCACAAGCCACTGAACTGTATCTATTTATGTTACTGAGTCCAGTAATTTGTCTTTGACTAAAGAACAATTTTTCTGGCTAACCTATGCTTTGCAGAAAGGCATATGCTCATCATTTAAAGACATCAGAAATTCTGCCCTTAATTACTTCTTCCCATGGCTAGATACCTTATGGTTCAAAAGGAAATGGGACACTTCAAATCTAGTATCTGATTTATAGTGAGTTTTTGGCTTCAGTTTACAGCTACTTCAGTTTCCGGGTGATTTTCCTTAAAAAATGAAAAAGGCCTTTTAATGTCCAATTTATTTTAAAATTTACAGGGATACACAATTAGAACTGAATGCAGTATTATCATATATGGACGTCTTCTCCTGTTCCACCTCACTGACATCATGTTGAGACATCTGAGGATTACATTTATCCCTTTGACCACAGCATTGTATTGTGATTTCTCATTGCATTGCTTATCCAACATGACCTTAAAGCCTTTTTCAGAGACACTTCTTTCTGATCTGTATTTTCTCATTGAAGAATTATGACTTGCCGTTCTTGTTTCTAGGCTTATAACCCATAATTTGTGTGTACAAAAATACCACTTCTTGAGTATGCTTACTTGCTTGTCTGCATTTGTTAAAAGTCACATTATCAATCTTTATTAACTCTAAATTTTATAATCATTGACTTATTCTTCAATTAATTAGGAAGCTATTAAATGTGAACAGAGCTAAAAAGTGCTTGTTGCCATGTGTTAAATGGACATTTATACAGGAAGGGTGATGATTAGAAACAACAGAGGAGTAAGATGGCATTTTTCAGCTGTAGTGAAGATACGGAGTTGGTTACCAATGTGATTCTTTCCAGGTTCATTTTCCTAATGCCTACAAAATAGCAGCAGAAGCACTTCTGTTTGATTCATGATTGTTGACTCCTTTTTTGGGGATGTTTCAGGCAGTTTTTATCCATATAGATTAAAGCTAATGATTTTCCTAATAATATCCATTGTTTGCAAAGAATATAGGTTGAGTAAGACCTTGCATGACTGTATAGTGAGAAATGCAACATTGCAGTAAACGTTCTCCTCTGCTATATGCTTAGGCATTGTTACATACAAATTACTTCTGATTTGCTATTTACTTCTGGTTTGCTATTTAACAATACGTTTTCAAAACTGGACCAAAAAATCAGTGCTTCCTCGATGTTGCAAGTCAAGACTTATGGGTGTTAGTTATGGCTTTATTTTCCACTAGCAGTGAGTTGTTAAACCAGTAATTTGTAGATTATACCTGTTCCTTTGAGAACCTGTTGATATTGTGGCTGGAGGCAAACTGCATGTTTATAAAATTGAGGCAGTTAATCAGATGAACAAGAGATCAGTTTGGCTATATTCTATATCCTGTCTATTTTTTATGCCAGGCTTGCATTCCGTTCTAATGCTGTATTTCAAACCTAAATCATGGGTTTCTTCTTACCTGCTAAATTGCACGTTTCATTCCAGCCTACTACCATCCTTGTGTCCTTTTCTTCATATTTCTGTGCTTTTATTCACTAGATGCAGATGTTCAAAAATGGTAATTTTAATTCCTTTGTTGCTATCCATACTGCGACATCTAATTTAGCACTTTCAGATTCCACCCTTCATGTCTCGGCCCCTTGCTCCCTCCATCCCACAGCAAAAATTTATTTTGTTCCAGTTGAAGGGCTTAAATTAGTAGTCTGTGGTATTGTTCTGTTTGTACGTGCATTGATGACGCGCGGTTTGTCTGCTCTTGTTTCAGGTACAAAGGTAAAGTCAGCAAGAACACAGACTTCTCGCACACAGAAGGTAGTAACCAGCCCTAGGAAACAGCACCCTTTATATGCACTTACCCAAGAAAATCAGTATCTCTTTAGTCCAAGTCGAGATGTACCTGCAGTCTGCGGTCCACTTGAAGGTCACCTAATTCCTATGGCTATTCCACTAGGTAGGAGCAAATAACCTGTAGAAGGGATGTGTAAAGGTTAATTACTGCTACTTCATGGAAATAAAACTTTGCCCTGGGCCATAAGATTTGCAGCTGCCCTTCTCATGGGAAATCTAAATGGGGGAACAGTTTAAAAGTTCTGATTCTCCTCATTCTTCATGCTGGATGTCTGGCGATACCCTGACAGAGCAATTATTTGCTTAGCTCTACATACCTTGTTTGGTACACTTTACATTTCTAGGGTTCTTGTTGTGGCTTTTAGTTTGGTATCCATGTAAGCAGGATCTGAATCATTGGCCCTTGGATTCAACATTTACGATGACTTCAGTCCAACAATTTCAGTAGGATTGTGCCAAACACACTAATTTCATTGTCATGGCTTCTGTATTTTTGGACCTTCAATAGAACAAATAGGCCTTGTTTTGGGCAGGGTTAGTATTATATTGGCATTTAAAGAAGATAATTATTAAAAAAAAAAGGTGTCTCAAAAATTTGTGGGATGCTATACTAAGTGTAATAGTATTTTGAATACGATTAAGAAAATGTAAGGTGCGGGAAGCATGATACGTAATTTTTGAACGGCAAACACAATGTAGTTATTCTCGTTTTCAGCAGTAGGTGTCACTGTAGTCAAGAAAAGTGAATAATTTTTAAAAATGGCCGTTTCTGCTGGGAAAGCCTTAAAAATACCTGGTGAAGCACTATACTTTAGCTAGTATTAATAGGGAACTTTTTAATTGGTCTGTAGTTGCGCACGAGATCTCAGTCTGTCTCATGTGAAACACAGACAACTAGAATTTAATTTTAATTATTTTTTTAATTTACTGACTTTGGAGATTTATATATATCTTTAATTATTTTTAAACTGTCCTTAGGTCAAACCCAAATTAGCGACATCTCACTGCAGCCTGCTGGATTAGTTATAGGTAAACCGCACCCTGTTACAGTTACAACCTCTCTTCCTCAAGTGCCGCCAAAACAACCGGTTGAGGTAAAAAACCCAAACATAGCTGTAATAGAGATGAGATCAGAGAAGAAGGATCCACCTCAACTGTCTGTGCAGGTACATGTTAAGAGTGATGATTATTTGTTTATTTTAATAAATGCTAACTAAAGACAGTCTTATCCATTAGTAACTTACTTTGACATCGGTAGATAGTTTTCAGTAAGCTTTAGAAACATATAGAATGGAGGGACCAAGAAGCTATGTTAATATTTTTATTCATATTTTAACAATTATCTTTATTATTTGACCAAAATAGAAAACCATTTCTTCTGTAAGTCACCTATGCAGGGTGTTTGTAAAATAGTTCTATGTCACGTTTTCTTTTTTTTTTTTTAAAGTGAGATTTTTGAGCCAGAACCAACTTGGAATAAAATGTCAGTTTTCTTGGATGAGTGCTTTGGCCTTTGAGATTTCTGTTTCAAGCATGATAGTCAACCCAAGGATTTCACTCCTGATTAATCAACTGTTGCAGTCCTTACCTAGTGGGTTGTTGTTTTTTTGGTTTTTTGTTTTTTTAAAATTTTTTACATGAGTCTGTTGTCAAGGAAATTAATGTTTCTTACATGTTCATTATTTTGGATTCAAATTGTTGGGAATATACACACTCCTACACAGACCTTTCAGATGCAAATGATTCATGGAACTCAAAGTTAAATACAGGTAGAGTAGTATGTGGTTTGTTCCCTTGCTGTATCACTGTATTCCACTCACATGCATTTTGCTGTTATTTCACCCAGTTCTTAAATGTTTAAGGTGATTTTTTTTTTCCCCCCAAAGAATTAAGCAAGCATTTAAATCTTTGTTCTTAAAAAAACCACAACATATTTTGATGCTGTAATGGACATGTCTTTATTACAAACCATAATGTAATGCAATTATCCCTTTATTTTATTATACCAGATGTATAACAATGTGAAGCCAATAACCAGCCTACACAGTGGCTTGTAGGCCAACATAGTGTAAACGAATTGCAAGTCAAACATACATCTGCTATATATAAATAGTTATAGGTATACTCACATTTTGTCACATGCAAGACAAAGTATAAGGGAATTAGAGAACAGGACGAATCAGGTACTGCAAGAAAAGAGGTGAATATTTCTGGGGTTAGTTTTTGTATGTTAGAGTATCTTGATTTTCAGAACCAAGTTATTATCAGATACAGGTATGAGAAAAGGAGGTCACTGAAGTTTAGTGGAGCAGTAGCAAGTGGAAGAAAGAATCTAAAAAGTTCAACAATAGTAGCCAAGCTAATACATAGATTTTCAGATTGGTGCTTTTTTCTGTCCTAGGTGTTACCAAATGTAGATATTGACAGTGTTTCGAGTGACAGTATGAGTGTAAACCACGTTCTTCCAGGCTCCGAACCTGCACTTCCTCCTGTCGATGCTGTAATACAGGTATTGATTGGTCTTAATGTCTGCGAATTCAAATTCGTTAAAAAAGAAAATATGTTCAATTACTACAAAGTTATCTCGTTATCTTGTTTTAGTTAGAGAAATCAGACAGTTCTAGGAAAAATGGAGTAATTACTCTGAAGAATTTATAACGTGAGATATTTGTTTAAGAAAATGAAAAATTGCAGCAAGACTGTTCTTCCAAGATTAAATAATCACCATAGCAAAACTTTAAGAAAAACAGCGTTTCTCTGTCCTGTTAAGAGTTGTAATCCCTTATTGGCCCATGTCTGTCTTATTTATACTGGCTTCAGTGTTCTGGCATGAAGACTGAGGGTGTTGTTCATTCCTCCGTCTGCTCCTTGGCTGTATTTGAGTGGTTAGTGGCATGTATGTGTAGCCTGTTCACTGGCAGCCTGTTGTGTGTGGAGCTGGCGGGTGTACTCTATTCTCTGGCGGGTCTACTCTATTCTCTTTCCATATAACTTTTCAGAAGTGTTTTTAATCTAATCTAAGCAGTAATGAAGGTTTTTGTGCAACTAAAAGGTTAACTGCTGCATGCTGAATGATAAGGTTGTAAACTAGGGCACATGTTTACAGGATAGCATATTGTTTCTTCCAATGGACTTCTGTCTTGTGCATTGCACAGACTGGACAGTGTGAAGACACAGTGATGCAGTGATTATTTTGTATAGTTATTGTACCTTCTATTTTCCCTGTGTGTTAGCTGCTGTTCTGACTTAAAGATTTAGGTCCTCCAGAGTCCTGTGGTCAAGGTATTCACTGAATAAGACAGAGACCGTGGGCTAAAATAGTGATTATTATTTAAAAATTATGTTATTAAGTAACACTGTAGAAATCACACATAAGTAAATTGCTTAAGACACTTCTAGAATCTTGTGTGATAAGTTTTATAATATTTTGTCTTACTGTTTTTTTTAATAAGAGTTAACTCTATCCCAGCCAAAACCAGCACACAGGTATTGCCCTGGAACTTTTGATGTTGAGATATTCCATTAGATTTGGTAACAGCAGGTTTTAGTTGTCAGCGTACAAGAAAAAGTTCTAATAATCTCTCTTTATGCTATGCAAAAAAATTCCTCCTGACTTTTAAGGTGGGTAAAGCATTTTTTCTGGATTGACAGTGAGTGGTGATTTAATTGCATTCTTGTCATGAAGTTTTTCTGTTAATGCATTTTTTCCCATTTATATATGAAATACCTAACAATTTCAATCTGTCTTTATAAGACTCCAGAAGATATACATAGTGAGGAGGAAGACACAAAGTTTCCGGGAACTAATTTCATTGATGTTACTGATGTCATGCAGGTAATTTTATTGCAAAGGTGTCCTTTCCTTTTAAACATTTTTATATTTGTTTTACATTATTCCGTCATAACTGAAAACACCATGTAGCAAATCTTTAATGCTTTACTAGCAACTTTAAAAATACACATTGTGAGCAATACTGAACTGTTTACTGTTTACTGTTCGGTACTGTCAGTGCTATAAACAATATTAGAAATTACTAAGTAGTTAGTAAGTAAAGCACCTTTGAAGAATTACAATAAAAAACTAAAATTAGGTTTTATTTGGATGTGTTAGAATCCACCAGAAATAAAAGTAGTCCTCTAAAATCAGAGGTGATCATAGCACTTAGATTTCACAATTTCAAACTCTAAATGTAATGCATATATAAGATGCTTTTACAGATTTTAAATAAGGTGACCTATATTTTAAAACATGAAAGTATTTTCTGAGGGTTCCCTTTTAGAAAATTTCGGTGTAGAGCAATTTGCATATGCTTTTGAGGTCCTAAAATGCTTTAGCATCTCATTTCAGTCAAACATTATGTAATTTAAAAAAAAAAAGACAAGCAGTGTATGTGAGTATATACGTACAACATGTACTACTCATCTCATGGATCCCATTAAGAGTTTACAAAATTTTTATTTTACTGGATGCCTTGTTAGTGTCTGTGCATGTTTAACAACGTTGTTTCTGGATTATAACATGCGTTTATTTGAGATACTCTTACAGTTTAATTTTTTTAGGTAGCAAATCCTTTTTTTAGTTAGCTGACCTCTTGTCAGTCAGAGTGGGGGCTGACAAATGCTCAAGGTTGGTGAACCAGCCTGTGTGTCACTTCTCCAGATAAAGAGCAGAAGCAGAAACTCAATGGTAGCTGGGAAAGGCTGCCTCTGAAGGAAGCAAGGTGCTGCCACCCAGCTGTTGTGGAGTATCTTGCCTCTGTGGAAGATGGCAGCTTCCACCTCCTCCTGCATTTAGGACTCAGTAAATACCAGGAGCTTGAAATTGCTGTTGCTGGCTAGTATTTCTCTTGAAGCGCTTTTTCCTCAAGCTTCTTTCCAGTGAGCTAGACTTGCTGTGTGCATATCAAAATCTAGCCAAAAATGAATTCTTTTTACCTGTTCTGTGTGCTCCTGATCCCAGGATTAGAGTGTACGTCAAATATTAACTCTATAGCTTACAGGTCAGTATGGTAGATTTATTTTTAAAATGAATTCATCATTTAACATTATCAGTTAGTTAAAACAGTCCTAAAGGGGTGGTTTACCTATCATTTTTAGTTTCAGAATTACCTTATGTTATTGGAGGGGAGGAGTTAAATCTATTTGGACAACTTTCTTCTTGCACAAAAAGGCCTTATTTTATAAAAATAAATAGGAAAGCTATTTAAGAAATCAGTTTATGAACTAACAAAAAAATGCCGCAATGTTAAATTTTTTAGATGTGAATAATAGTTATTCATCTTTTCTTTTTTCATTTTTCTCCTGGATTGCTTTTATCTTTTATTTTTGGCTATGGGATATATTTTAACCACAGTACCAAAAAATGTTCTAAGTGAAACATATGTTTGGCCTATGACCACACAGACAATGTTCTTAAAAATGTGCAAGGCAAACACAATGTGGAAACATAAAATCAACCTCTGGAGTGGCAGGGGTATTTAAGACATGAAAAGAAAACAAAGTTCTTGTTATAAAAGAGGCTTCAGATTCGTGAAAAAATGTGCATAAAATGCTGTATAGAAAAATAGCTTATTGGTGTCTTCCCCCCATACCCTTCTATTATGAAAACTTAATTCTGTTAGAACTGAAGAGGATAAGTATTTGTGTGAAATATGCTTTTTTTGTTTGGTTTTTTTTTGTTTTTTTTCTTCCCTGGTGGATATTGCAAAAAGGCCTCAGGACCCTGAGAAAAGGTATTTCCTTTTCCTAGGATTTGTTTTACCTTTTCTACTAGAAGCTCCTTATTTAAGAGATGCTTAGGAGTTGAAATGCTAGTTGTTAGCATTAATAGCCTAATAGAGGCAAGGCTGCCATAGCTGCCAGCAGTGAGGCCGAGCATGTATTGCCAATAGGCACACACATACACAGACACACACACATATGCAATACACATATACATACGTGTACACAAGTGGCTGCACAGATCAGCACTCAAACAGCACCAACGTGCTGATCCTGTTCCCTTCTCTGGTACTTCAGGATGGAGGTGTGGGATATTGTCCTGGTTTCGGCTGGGATAGGGTTAAATTTCTTGCTAGTGCTGTGTTTTGGGTTTAGTATGAGGAGAATGTTGATAACACACTGATGTTTTCAGTTGTTGCTAAGTACCCTCCTAGTCCAAGGACAGCTCCCATGCCTACCGACTGAGCTAGGTGCACAAGATGGGAGGGAACATAATCAGGACAGCCAGCCCAGCTGGCTAATGGGGTATTCCATACTATGTGACGTCATGCTCAGTATATGAATGGTAGGCGTGATCCAGGAAGTACCGATTGCTACCTGGTTATCGGTCAGCGCGGGTAGTGAGCAGTTGCATTGTGCCTCACTCATTTTGTATATTCTATCATTATTATTATTATTCTCCCTTTTCTGTTCTATTAAACTGTCTTTATCTCAACTCACGAGTTTTTCTCACTCTTACCCTTCCGATTCTCTCCCCGTCCCACTTGGGGGTTGCGGGGGGCGGGGGGGAGTGAGTGAGCAGCTGCATGGTATTTGGCTGCCTGCCAGGTTAAACCACGACAGATACACGTTTGTGTATATGTACATATATATATGTGTGTGTGTATACATGTATGTACATAGGCATATACACACACAGTGTGGATGCCTCCAGTATCTGGCGTTAGACACTCAGCCTACCCAGTAGCTGGCCCTGGGTCCTTGCTCTCCCCAGCTCTGGCACCTGGACGTGCGATCCCCTGAAAGCGCCTTGCTCAGGAAAATCGCTGGAAACGGCATTTAATGAGGAGACCGGACAGACTGCGCTGATCAGGCACAGGGCAAGGCCAGGCAAGCACGCTGACCAGCCACTTTTTTCCCCTTATCCCTCTATTTTCTCACACCTGTACCTCTCCAAACCACCTTGGTCCTTCCCTTTCCACACCTCTGATTCCTCCCTGTAAACACCACTTAAAAAGTGTTGTACCATCCCAAAATACACTTCCCTGCATGCCATAATAAGTCATCGTGTCATCACTTCATCCAAATGCACCTGCCCAACCTTAAGAAAGGTGCTATGGAGAGTCTTTCCATGGGCTCGTCTTGCTGGGTTTCACTCCTGGACGCTGAGGTTGAGCCCTCTCCTCTGATAGCCCTGGGAGTAGCTGGCTTGGGGTGCTCAGTTGTCATATTAGGTTGTCTGGGTTCTCCCGCCTGTTCTCCCGTCTCTCCTCTGTGCTCCTTTGTGTGAGTGGAGACAAACCTTTTATTACATAACCTAAGAATAATTTAACGGTTTTGTGGACTAATGCAACATGTCCCAACTTGTAAAACGCAAGCCCTGCCACAGGAAGAGGTGATGTGCCTTGTTCTCCCATTGCAACCTTGCTGTCTAGAGTTTAAAGAGGCAGAGCTCCATCTTCCAAAATAGTTGAATTAGGTGCTGTTATTTCAGAATAAGAAAATTCACATGTGGAATAAAGCAGAAAAAGCTGTTATAGCAGCCACATCCTGCAGTACCTTTAGCAAACTTACTAGGATTTAAGATTAGAGACACTCTTTGCTCTCTTTGAATATGCCCTAATTGCAAGGTGAGGACTTGTTTCTCAGAATTTTTGCTTCCATTTTGAATACCACTGCAAAATATATAACCTGCAGAGATCAGAGTTAATGTATTTTCCTCAACCCTGGTTTCCTGTAGATGCTCTTTGGGGCAGTGATTTTTTTTACATGTATAACTCTTCAGACAAAAGATCACAGGTGGCACCTTCAATGCAGCCTGACCTTGCTTGTGAAAATTGCTTTAGAAATCTGTCAAGAAGAAATCCATGACTAAGTTTTGGATGGCTTTAATAGAAGACTATGCACATACATGTTTGGTAATGGAACAAAATTAATCTATACCACCTAATCATTTCAAACATTTTTTTAATTATCTGAATGTAATTTGGGAAATAGAATTTCGGCTTGATATTTTATAATAAAGTACAGTGATTAATATTCCAATCATATCTGAAAGACTTTCTAATTTATGCTGTATTTTGATTGAGAGTCATGATAGATATTTTCAGCAGTCTCCAGGGAGGTAAAATGCAGAATTGAGTGCAGATTATTCAGGATTGGTCTACAAGGTGATATATGTGCAAGTTCAATCTGTATAATTAAATACTGACTATTATGTTATTTTTTTATTTCAGCAGAGATAATATATCACCCCCAAATGAATATAATATTCTTTTGGATTTGTGCACTATTAAATATAAAATAATTTTGCACATAGTTTAGAAAAGCAGGAGAACTGCAAAAGTTTGTCAGAAGTTACTAAATATATGTAAGATTTATTGTAAAATTGGTTTATTTAATCCAGATGTTTGTATTTTGCATACTTTCAGAAAAGATTATATTAAGTAGGCGACATCAAAGAAAATGTATGAAGTAATGCAGTCAGAAGAAAATGCATAATGAAACACTGGACAAAGATGTCTTTACATTTGCTGTCAGAATGAATTATGGTTATGAACACATATATGCTAACAGAATGAACTGCTTATCAGCTTGCAAGGCATCCAATGCCATTCTGAATTTAACTTCACTGTCTTATTTCTATGCCTAGAATGGTTTAGAGATCTTTGTTTGTCACCCAAATATACATATTCCGTTTTGCCTGCTTTGTAAGTTACAGCTTTTCTTTGAAGAATTATTACTATTTAAAGATCCAGGAAGCTCCTGCTCCCCAATAGCTATTTGTTGTAATACCCATCATGGACCTATCTGACTTTTCAGTTTTAAAGTATATTAAGGTAGAGAAGTATTAATGCTGGGTTGGGGAAGGAGACAGGAAAATGTTACTCTTTTTTTTTTTCCCCTTCTCTGTTCTTTCTGTTTTTAGTGATTTGTTCTTCTATTCATAGAAAATATATAGTGGGTTTTTTTATTTTATGGGTTAAAAGTAAATTTATTTTCTATAAGGGAAATGAAGGCTTTTTTCTCCTTTCACTGTGTTGGAGATTAATCTTTGTAAATGCAAATTTACAGTGAGCTCTTTTATGCAATATCACATACTTCTCTCTGGTAATTTAGGGCTCAGCTCTTCATCTCATTCTGGCATGCCAGATTTTCTTCTTAGAGAATCATATTACTATTGGAGACATTTGTTTTTAATATTATGAGTGAAGGATGCAGGTTCTCATCCATCAGAAGACATTTCTAAAGTGTTACATTACGATATGATGGGTTGGTGACTGCTTTTTGGGACTTAATGCTGTGTATGTGCTCAGGGGGGCAAAGGAGGGTGGCATCTTTGGAAACAGTCAAACATTATAACGCACACTGAGTAACTTTCATAACTTTTAGAAATAGCATATTAAGGTTAAATTCAAAGTGTCTGTGAGGATCTTGTGAATTGATTACCCAGCAGCTGAGGTTAGTGAAAGTATAAGCATACATGTAACATATGTGTAAACTATTCATGTCTAGTCCTCAGTGCTGGCAACCTTATTAGAGTTTTGACTGACTGCATGCTCATTAACTTTAGGGAATATGTCTTTTCAGACAGAAGACTTTAAAGTAAAAGTTTAATTTCTAAAATAAAACCAAACAAAAACCAAACAAAAAACCTAACCCAACAAGTGACTGTAGAAAGTTTCCTAAACTTTTTTGTTTAAAGGAGGAGCATTTCTGCAGTATATATTAAAGAAACCTGACTTATGTCACAAGTAAATTTCTCAAGGATTAGCATTACCATTGGCTCCCTGCCCTGTGCAGCACAGGCAGGAAATATGAGCCAAATCATGTTTTACTTAGCAGTTCCTAATGCCTTATAAGTATACAGATTTATGATTTGCTAAGTTTAGAATTGTATCAATTAACTACAGCATACTAAGAAGGGAGAATGTGGTTTGTGTGCTGTGACACATCTACAAATGTTTCTCAAAGAAAAAAATCTGACAGTTACCTCGATGACATTACCTTCCAAAAACGCACCACAACTTAATTTACTACTTATTTATTAGGATCAGGAAGAGGAGAAAGATGAAATTCCAGAATTCTTTGAGCCTCTTCTGGAGCTTAATGGACAGTTTAAAGTTGCCTCACCAAAATACAACGGTCCTTTGTTTCCTCCAGTGGCTTCTGCTCCTCAGCAGTCTTCTGATGTTTTGGATGAACTGATTCAAAGGAGAGAGACTGTAGAAAACAGGTTGATAAATTGGTGAGTTGCAATATAACAAAGTGCGAGAGAATATATATGGAAGAAGGAATGATTCCATAATAATACCTTCCCTTTCTTCTCCTCCCCTCCCTTCCCTTCACCTCTCTCCTTTGAGCTGCCTTGCATTTTATGTCAAGAATGCTCTTTTGTGTACTCTTAGGTGTCTTGCTGTTTGCTGATATTTAAACGGGTTTTATTCTCCTAGGGTGGAACAAGAAATAATGGCAAAAATTATCAGTGGGATGTACCCAATTCAGGAAGAAACAGTGCCCAGTGTTAGCACCTCAGGGAGTGAAGACAGTGAGACTGTAACCTCTGACATTGGTAAGTAGGAGTTATTGTTCTCAGCAGATAGATTATCTCAATTCTTGGCTAATTTTAACAAGCTGTGTAGGTAGCTGTTGCCTGAGACTAAGAGTGAATAATGCTGAACCAGTGAAACTGTAAAATGCAAAAGTGCATGCTTTAATTTATGTTGAGACAGAGCAAGCATTATAAGGCCACTGAAATAAATTATCTAAAAAAAGAAAAAGAACACATAAAACATACCACTGTACAAATCAACTTCTATTATTGGCCATCTAAATCAGATTTGGCATTTTGCTAAGCCTGTAATGTTTGTTTGCCTTTCTTTTGTTAATTGTCAAAAATTACCTCCCTTGTAAATGTGTGAGAATGGGAGACAAATGCATTTCTTCTGTGATGTCACTGCCCTTCACTGCTGTCTTCTTTTATGATTCTGAATTGCTTCTCTACTGTTGTTTCTTTATTTGTAAAATAAAAAAATCACTTTTTGCAAAGAAATGTTTAAAAGTTCATGGAGAATAAAATGAGTGGCTGCAGTACAGTACATGCGTTTTAAGAAGTGAGACCTGGATGCGTGCTTTATGTTTCTTCATTTTCAGTTGAAGTTGCAGGTGGTGGAGGATTTCAGCTCTTTGTCAATGCTGGCGTGCCTGTGGACTCGGAAATGATAAGTCATTTTGTAAATGAAGCTCTCAGTGAGACAATTGCAACCGTGCTGGGTAACAAGCAAGCTCAGGAAGCAGTTCCTGCTACAAATGTTCTTCCAAGTACAACGATTATGATGGTAAGCGTCTGTTTGATTTAAGCTTTCCTACTGAAGTTCTAAGGGATGATTTCTTATGGTGGCATGATAGTTCAACTATGTGCAAGACAAAGATGACAGAAGAAGCCTGATGAACTGAATGTGCATGATTTGCATTTTTTGACTGTTCCTTATTATACTGCAGCAAGCCACAAGATTAAACCTATTTCACTTAAAAAATATTCGAAAACATGCAACATACTATATTTATTTACTTACTTTAAGTCTGATCACAAAACTGATTTCTAAGGGAAAGACTTGATACTTAATTTCATGTTGTCAAAAGATAGCTCATGTTATTTTCAACAAAAATAGCTATGCTATTTTCTTGCGAATAAATGAAATACGAAGAAACTAATTTCTTCATATAAGAAGAAATACAAACTGAAAGTGATATTATTTTTAGTCTTGTGGGCTTGCAGCCATTCTTTAATATCCGTAAAAATGAGTATTAATTCTTTCTAAGTTTTGAGTTCAGTAGTTTTCAGTAAATGCTTAAATGGTTAGTAGAGCTTCCTGTAATACAGGATAATTTTCTCTGTTCCCTTTGATAATCAAATGACATCTGGCTCTTTTTTTGATAACAACATGGTTGTGCGACAGTCTGGTGTTGTATAATGTCTTTGGGATGACTGTGGAAATGGCTGTGCTTAGAAATCGAACTATACAAAGCTTTGTTGAAAGTGAGATCAATTATTCTATTTTGCTACAGTGCGTATAGACTGAAATACCAGCTAGTGCCTGCTGTAAGTGACCAACAGATTATTCTATAGTCAAAAGTAGTCATTTCACTGCTGTGGGCTTAAATACAGCCATCCTGCATCTAAAGAGCTCTTCCCCACTCCATTACAGATTAAGGAGGGTATGACTATTCTTTGTAGCTTGTTCTTCTGATACTTAGAAACCTCTTCTAATAACCATTCTACATTTACTAATGGCCCTCCTAAGTCTTCTTGTTTCTATACCAACTTAAACTGAAGTGTCCTTATGCGGAAATGGTTGTTTTCTCCTTACTATATATATTCATCTGCGCACTTCTAGAGATTAGTTTTGTCCTTTTCGGCCTTTGTTTGATTAGGCTAAATAAAGCAATCATCTGTATGTGTACCATTTTTCGACTCTTACTGATGGGCAGTGCTTTTATGTTTTCCAATTTAGATTGGTCTTGGCCACAGCTAACACTAATATGCTAACACACATTTTTAATAATAATGTAGTATATAAATGAGGTTTCCTCAGTGCCTTGTGCTATAGTAGTGATACTCTCCAGCCTTTATTGGAATCTCAGGCAGCCAATTGTTTTTTTTAAAGTCTTTCCACATTTGTGGCTGATAGTTATTCTTTAGATAACTTGTACATTCATTTTTTTTTCTTCCTCTTTTTCCTTTTCTGCTCAGCTTATAGCGGAAGTTCTTGAATATGTAGTTTATGCGTTCTTGATCTACCCCTTCTTACTGTGAAGTTTCCTATCTAGAACTTCATCTGCCCAGTTACCATGTTCTTTGGTGTTCATGATGTCACACAGTTGTATGTGGACTGCCAAATTCGTTAGGGTGTTCCACTTGCGCTAAGAGCTGTTAATAAAAATCATCAGTCTGAGGATTTATTCTTCAGAAACTAGCCTGGAAGCCTTCCTTTAGCCCCATTATCTTGTTTTCTTTATAAGTGTCAGAGAACAGGGCTGGAAAACACCTGGAAAGGTCCATCATATTCCTCTATAGCAGGCTGAATGACAACCATCATACTTGCCTGTCAGATTTATCTCCATCACTGTCATTTTTTAAGGAACATCACAATTGTGTGCTTATTTTAGTGCTTTAGTGTCTAGGCGATTGCTTTGTAATCTTCTCTTTCACTGATGCTCTTACCATGAAATTATCATACTGACTCAATTTTATCCATGTCACGAACTATTTTCTTGCTTAACATTGTATTAAATGCTTTATTAAAATTCATATAATCATTTAATTCATATTTAGACTGGGCATTAGGAAGCATTTCTTTACCAAGAGGGTGGTCAAAGACTGGAACAGGCTTCCTAGAGAGGTGGTTGATGTCCCATGCCTGTCAGTGTTTAAGAGGCATTTGGACAATGCCCTTAACAACATGCTTTAACTTTTGGTCAGTCCTGAATTGGTCAGGCAGTTGGACTAGGTGATCATTGTAGGTCCCTTCCAACTGAAATAGACTAGTCTATTCTATACATAATGATTTCCAAATGTAATCATTCTAATGCATAATTTACTGGTTTTTAATTCATTTTGTCCAGGCATACTATTTAGCCTGGTGCAACTTTACATTTAGATGGAGGCGTTAGATCCATGAAGCATGTATCTAAGCAACAACTGTTACTGTTTTGTGATAACCTGCCTTTCTCTCTCTTCCTCAGCTAACTCTGGGGATACTTGGAAGATAGGAATTTTGCATTGAGATAATAACTGTGGTTACAATTTTTTTTCCCTCAGGAGTCTCTCGTGCCTACTCCATTGCCAACACCCCAGGCCACACCACCACAAACACCACCTTCAGAAAAAGAATTGCCTCCAGTCAAAACTCCAGAGTCTTCTCTGTCTCTTACAGAAATGAGTGGGGATGTTCGTGAACATGAAAAAATTAAAGAAACAGGTAGTGAAAATAATAATTGAAGTTTAGAAGTAGCAAATATGCTTTAATCTACTGCCTTTAATTTTCTTCTTCAAAGACACGTTATCTCTCAGGATAAATATTCTTGAGGCTATAATTCAAGTGGGAACTCATGTAGTACAAAAATTACGGGCTAATTCATATAAAAAGCAAACATCTTCTCTTTCGTAACAGTTCTATTTTCAAACTTAATGCACGTTTTTATGATCTGTGTGATTTCTACCCCTCCCAACCCCCCCCACTTTTTTACCTCAGAAAAATAGCTCTTTTGCACCTTCCTGTGTTTATAATGTTAATTAAGCCAAATTCACACTCTCCAAGTAAAGCACCTTAGTTTTTAAAATGCAAAGCAGTCTCCCTTATTAAAGGAAATAAGCAATTGAGGTTTTATTCCAACTCCTTCAGATGCCAACACTATACTTAAAAGAAACTAGTCTTAATCTAGTCTTGTCTCCATAACTATCAAAAGGTGTAACAAACATTACAAGGGCTTAGTGGAACTGACTAACTCTCTGTCTGAGATTTACTTCCTGCTTTCCTTTCTGATCTGAAATTTGGCTTCACACACGCAGGAGTTGAGATTCCAGCTGCCACTAGTCGTGTTGGCACACCTGTGGTTACCCCTGTCAATACGCCTCCTAGAACAGCCACACCAAGCCCTCCTGCCTCAGAAGGTGTCTCCGAAGCTGCAAAAATGGAAAGTCCAAAGCCTCCAAACCCATGGGATGATGCAGAACTTCCTCTGGAAGAAGAGAAACCCAGTCCTTTAACTGAAGAACCATTCCCTCCCAAGGCTGTGTGAGTTGAACAGGCTGCATGGTTTTCTCATTTCTTAAAAAAAAAAGAATATATTATTTCTACATATATCCTCAAAAAGTCAGTAGAGAAATTATTAATGTATATATCAGGAGGCATTGAGATAAGCCAGGATTCTTTTTTTTAATTGCTTGACTTATATTTTGGAGAAAAATGTGAAATCAGGACCTTTTTCAGAATGTGTTGGTCCTTATTCATTGTCCTGTTGAACACTGTAGTTAGTAAACTGGTATTGTTACACCTGCCAATAATAAAGCTAGCGACAATGAAATACTGTATTATTAGCATTTTATTTTTTCTATTAGCTCAGTGGGAATACAGATGGTAATTTTTAGTTATAACCAGAAATTCATTAGTAATGTTATTTAACCATGTTGATTCTTGGACTATTTTGTAAAATGGTGTGCTCTTTCATTTGAAAAAATATTTGCAAATTAATTTCTTTTCAGTATTGATTTAAGACTTCAGCCTATATTGTTCAATGCATTTTGTTGTATTCACAATGCATATTCTTACATTTTAGTGAGATGTCAGTGGCTAATGATGAGGAACCAGAGGCCTTGATTTTACCATCTCAGCAGCCGTCAGCGAGGCCCTTCGAATCGCTTCCTTGCAATCCACAGGTTCCCTCCCCTGTGTCTACAGTCAGTTCTGGGCAGTCCACGCAGGAAAGCAGCCTTACCCTCACAGAAACAGAAACAGAAACTGCAGACAGACCCATCTCAGAAGGGGAGGTACTCTTCAGCTATGGACAGATGCTGGCTGCAAGAGGTAACTAACTAGACAAATTTGTGGAAATTAGAATTTGGATTAATTTTTTTTTTCTTTGTAAAATATTCTTCCAGTCGACTGAAGTTACATTTCATGCATTTTCTGATAGAACTGCAAGCATTAACCTGGTCTCTAACTTTCAGTTCATGGTTTTGGATTTAAGAGACCTCATTGTTCTTTTTCTTGTTTCTGAACAAAATGCTTCTGCTTACTAATGGAAAAAGATTAAATCTGCTCTTTTGTCCTAATATCATTGGGACTGTCTTGCACACGTACCATGTGGTACAAAGTACTAAGTTTTTATTGAAAGCAAAGTATAAGAGCGATTTTCTTGGAAGCTGAAAATATGTCTTTATAATACACATCCGGTAGCAGGAATTTCCAACTTTACTAAAGCACTGTGTTACAATTATTAAAGAATGTGGCCTTGGCTTTCTTTCATATAACTTGCATGGGTTTCAGTATTTGTAACTTAAAATATTTTTCAGCATTAGCAGAAGGAGGACTGTCTCTTCCAAACCTCTCTGAGAGCTTAACGAGTACTTTACGAGACGCCAATGAAATGGTGAGGAAATGTTGGATAAATTGGATGTGCTTTAAGCATTTTCACTTATAAATTTTTCAAATTTACGCTTTTAAACTGTACGCTTACAAAGAATGTTAGATTTTCAGAGCTCCAAAGAAAAAAACCACATTATACAAACTAATTTGTATTAAAAAAAAAAGTTGAATGATTTATATACTTCTGTAGGTGAGAGATAGCTAATACGCATTTTCATCTTTTATTGTTTTTAGTTTTAAGACATCTTAAACAGAATAGAACATTGTTATGCTCTGAGCTGTTTCAGCTTTGAGCCATCTTTTAATTGCTTGTGTGCTTAAATTATTAAAGTAGGTTAGCTGAGGCTGGAGTTAGTTAAAGTTGCTTAAAACTTCAGTATAGTTTTTTATCTGAAGTCTACTTTAGTCCGTTGTCCTGGAAACCTCCCAAGTCAAGGTATTCTCCATTCTCTTTCTCTTTTAACAGTTTTCCTCAAATGCCTGGACTTTCCCTCTCTGACTTTGTGTAATGCCTCTTGGTAGGACATAGCTGTCATATAAATGATAGTATCAGGTAGAGTAATACTATGCTTAAACCAAACTGTTTTCTTTATGAAGAATAAAAAAAAAGATAGTTGAATTGTAATAGTATTGGTTGGAAGGGACCTCCAGAGGGATTTCTAAAATCTTCTTGGACTACCTCCACAATGCTGTATGACTCTTCTGGAAGATGTATAGATAGTTGAAATCTGCCATGAGGATGAAGACCTGCAATCATCAGACCCCTGTTAATGTTTTGTAGAAAGCCTCCTCTTACTTTCTGTGGGTCAGGTGCTCTGAAGCAGACTGTGCCCACAACATCCCCAGTGTTTCTTTCCCCTCTCATCCTGACTCAGACCATCTGTAGGCACATGGAGGTCTGTGAATTCAAGGAATTATTTGACCTGGGATTGAAAACTGGCTGAAAGGATTGTGGTCGGTGGCACAAAGTCCAGCTGGAGACCAGTCGCTAGTGGTGTATGTCATGGGTCAATACTAGCGCCAGTGCTGTTTAACATATTCAGTAATGACCTAGATGATGGGACAGACTGCATTATCAGCAAGTTTGTAGATGATACAAAACTGGTTGATACACCAGAGGGTTGTGCCACCATTCAGAGGGACCTGGAGAAATGGGCTGACAGGAATCTCATTAAGTTCAACAAGGGGAAATGCCATGTCCTGCACCCAAGGAGGAGCAACTCCATGCACCAGTACATGCTCGGGGCTGACCAGTTGGAAAGCAGCATTGCAGAAAACAACCTGGGCATCCTGGTGGACAAGTTGAACATGGACCAGCAATATGCCCTTGTGGCAAAGAAGGCCACCGTCATCCTTTGCTGCACTGGGAAGAGCATTGCCAGCAGGTCAAGGGAGGTGGTCCTTCCCCTTTAATCAGTACTGGTGAGTCTTGTGTCCAGTTATGGGCTCTCCAGTACAAGAAAGATAAGGATTTAGTGGAGTGAGTCCAGCAAAGGACTAGAAAAATGATTAAGGGATTGGTGTCATGCTGAGAGAGCTTGGATTGTTTAGCCTGGAGAAGAGAAAGGTCTGGGGGGATCTTACCAATGTCTATAAATACCTGGTGGAAAGAAGTAAGGAACACAGAGCCAAACTGTCATAGTTGTGAGACTGTGCCCTGAACTTGCAGATCTTTCCATCTGTTGTCTAGACTTTGCCATGTGAGTGTATAGACACCTGAGGAGAATGCCCGCCCTCTTGATCAAGATTGTAGAAGTTCGTTTTGTGGGCTTCTCTTTAGATGCCTCCTCTGTCTGCCACACTTCCTCTCTTAAACTCTGGGATTAAGACTCTGTTATCAGGTGAACCTAAATTAAAGTTCTCTTTATCAGGTTAGAAAGCTTGCTTGCTAAGATGTTCTTCCCTCTCTTATTTCAGCTGGATTGTAACTCCTTCCAATAGTTCTCCATCCTCAAACTAGGCTCTCTGGTTGAGGAGGCTAAATCTTTGCTGGTGAGAGCAGCTCTGCAGCCAGATCATTGCTAGCAACCAGTATGTGTGAGGATTTAACTGTTTCCTTGAACTTTGGAGACCTAAAGGACCTTGTTCTTCTCTAAGTGTTGCAGTCTTAAGTATCAAATAAAGACTGTGCATGTCTGTGGGTAAAAGGAGAAGGCAGTGTGTCGTCAGTTTGCTTATTTTTAAGTCCCTAGATTTTCATGACACAAGTTCTCAGTGTGGAAACTGTAACAACTTACTATAAAAGAAAAAAGGTTAATTGTGAACTAAAGTAAAAATTATTCAAGTTCCTACAAAAAACAGTTTTGGATCATGTGGGTTTTGTTTCTTTGTTTTAGGATTATGATCCTCCCAGTGAAGGGCAAGTGGTGAGAAGACCGGATAAAGGCTATCACAGGGATCCTGTCCTGACTCTTTTAGCCAAGTTAAATCAAGGACCTGTTGCTGCACAAGAAGGAATGTACCATTTGGAGGTAACTTACAGTCCTTTTCCTTCCAGTACAGTACTTTTGAAGTGATACTTTTTTACTCAAAAGTAGATAAGATATTTCAAGCTTATCCTTCCTGTTGGTTCATACACTTCATTCCCTGCTGGAAGTGATCCCACTTCTGTTGGCTATGTTCTCGTGTAAAACTTTTTAAAAACACTGAAGGTTAAGTGTTGTTATAAACAAGTTAGCTGTACGTAGTATCACACGTACCTACTTTTCAAGGTGTGTATGTGACTGTTCCAGTGTACCAGATTTGTCCTGTCATTTTAAACACCAGGGAAGTTTTCTGTCACTTCAGCAATATAGGTGGTATGTTTAGCAGTACAAGTTCACTGCACTTAACAGCCATATAAGTGTTTTAGGGAGATACGAAGAATAACTCAGCAAATGTTTACATGCACTTTTGCACATGCTGTTGATACTGATCTTGGAACAAAACCTCAAGATACTTGTATTCCGTTGGCAGAAAAAGCAGACTAACAGAAAAATATAACTATCTGCATCACAAAGGACAAGAGTAGTTTTTTGTCACACATCTAAGTATTTTCTATGTAGAAAATAGGTGTTTGGACTGGGCATCTCTTCTAACTGACATAGCTGGAGGAATGTTTAAAGAAAGTGAACTGTGAATACTGCAATATGGTTCATGAACACCTTTATTTACAGCAGGTCTTGCTTTTTGTGATTTTATTGATGCATATGCAGTTTCTTCCTTCTGTCTTGGTCAGTTTAGTCTAAATAATTACTAACTTCACTCACCTCCTTAACTGTTCCTTTGTCTGTCTTTATTTTACTTAATGAGCTCAGGTGGATGGACTTAGTGAAAAGCTTTCTACAGTGTCAGCTCTGAGTCTGACTGTAATTGTAGTGACATTTTCTCATCAGCACTGCCAATTACAAATGCATCTCTAATTTGCTTTTTTCCTTTCCCATAGTCACGGACTGCTCAGTCTGTCCATACAAGACACTAAGAAACTTTCCCCTCCCCCCCCGCCCAGATTCTGGCAAGGTGTGTGCCAGCATACCTTCTCATTTATAAGGGAAAGAATATTCTCCTAGATGTTACTAGTATTGCCTTAGTATGACACTGTGCACATGTGCGCATGTGTATTCAACCTGTTCTCCTGCATAGAAGCGAGTTGTTTTTTTCTCTGCAGCTTTGAAAGTCAGAATCCAGAGAACCACAGAGTGCCATCCAAACCTATTTAAAAATTGAACTTTTTATCTGACATGCTATACAACAGAGAGTCAATAGCTTTTAGATGCTTCCAATGTTACAAGGTCAGGCAGTCAACAATGGCCATATGTGTAACATTAAAGACTTCATGTGCTAAAAATATAACTTAGGTTCTGATCATGTTGGGATACCACTAACAAAATAAGTGATGTTCTTTGGCTGTAAGTAATTCTTTTCTGTCCAGTACTGATAAATGTAGGTCTTGCTTTCAAATCCAGTTAGATGATACCTCTTCAGTTTCAGTTTTATTTATTCAATGCTAATAGTATAGACTTAAGTTTATGTATGCTGTAAGGGTTAATGTAATTAGATAAAAATGCCTGGTTTTGGAAGAAATACATTGGGGTTTTTTGCTCTTCTAATGTTGCTGTTCTATGTAGGATTCCGATGATAGTGTTGGGGAGCTCAGTGAAGGTCAAAGACCGAGGCTGACCAGAGCAGCAGAGAGAATCTTAATGGGACATTCAGTTTATATGGACCATCCAACTGCTCGGATTTCTGAGAACGGATCACACCAGGGTTTCCGTTCTCCGTCGCCAGGGCAACTTGCCCAAATTGGAGGTACAATTAGACTGTTACTTCTTCTCTGTGATATTTATGTGAATTCTGAGTTTTTTCTGTAACAGTATCTAAAATAATTTCAGACAGTATGTTGAAAATCCAGTATTAAAAATTTACAGGCAATTGCTGCAATGAAATGATTAGCATTCCTATTCTGAGAACTGGATTTAATTCAAGCTATGTCTTCACTTTTCTTTGTAATATTCTACAATTTGAACAAAAATCGTGCCAAGTACCCACTTGCCTGTAGAAAAGTTGGTTGTAAAGTACGTATTTTATTCTTTTAAGTCAAATTCAGTTCTCAAAAACACTTAGTTTGACCATTCTTGAAGTCAGTTTCCACAGGACAGGTATTAACACCAGCAGTTCAAGCTACTTCTCTCTGTCCCCTTACACAGCACTCCTCATTGTTTTTATCACTCCGTCAAGGTGATACTGCAGTGTCTCATAATTGGTAATATATTTTAGCTTCATATATTCCTGTAACAATATGGAAATTCTTTTTTTCCCAAATGGGTAGCTGAGGCGCACACATAATGGCTTGTACAAAGTAGTGCAGGAATATGTTGCTGTGGTAAGGCAGGGTAATTAATTTCTTTCTTTTCAGTTGAAACTAGTGCTGTAACCACTGGCCCATCCTTCCTCTTCCTTATCTTTTTATCCCAGTTTCTCTATTGTTATCTGAAAATGTACTTCTGTACTTGCTTAATTAAACTGCTGCAAGCTTGTAGAAACTCTTACTTTTGTTGAGTGTAGTTTTAAATATGAGTACACTGAACTGAAATAATTATTAAGCTGTTACAACACTAATGTGGTTGCACTGATTCATCAAAAGTTGTGTAAACTAAAGTGATCAAACAGCTGTTTTTCCTGTCCTTTGAATTTTCACATTTTTGAATTTGACAAGAGAAGCATATCTCACATTATCAGCTCTTGACCAGTAGGAAGTGGATTGAAACTGAATGTGTTCAACATGTGGCAAAAATTATCTCAGAGAAATAAGAGTATTTGTTAATTTTGAACTGATTCACATTTGAACTGGTTATACAGAGAGTAAGCTTTTTAAGTTAGTTGTTACCTAATGTTTTGGACCAGCTACACCAGTGTCAGCCTTGAAAATACATTTTGGTACATTATATATTATCAAACTTTTACTTGGAAGTAGTTTGTTGAATGTTGTTTGGAGGTTTGTTACATTAGGCTTCCTGGCAAAGGACTAGGTAATGCTGTTATCCCTTTCTCCAAGTCACCTGTTTAACACTGTGTTGTTAGAGTACAGTCAGCATTAAGAACACTGTGATGTGGGAATAAATTAGTGATCTAGATCAATCTGCTTTAAGTCTCTGATAGTGCTCAGGACCATATAGAGAGTTAGAAGATGCAAGTTAATGGGAGGACCTGTCTACTAGTGATATTTCTTTCTTACCCAGATAGTCCATAGCTGTATCTGGCATAACATGTTTGTATCTCCTCTCTATATATTTTTAAAATCTATTTAATTTCATTTAGGATGCCCTTTGTCTGTCCTGTAAATATCTAACACTTTTCAAAACCAGCTTCTGCATGTGATGGTAATCTAGAAGCAGTGTGTTTCTCTAGTAAATTTTTATATTCATCTCTCTAAATCTTGTAGTATTGTTTCTGTTGTAGTATTTTCTTAGAGGAGGCAAGGGACCTGAACATACTACCGAAGGGGAATGCCCTGTGCTTTTACATAATCTGTAATAATCCCAGACTGAGTTTTGTTGCATTCTGATGATTTTTAATTTAGTTTCCCTCCTTCCCCACCTCTGAACACACGGCACGGTATTCATTGACATTGCTAAGGAAGCAACATTATATAACAGCTAGGATCTACTTTCAAGAGTGTATTCATATCAGGGAGGAACACAAAATCTTTTTTCCAAGTTCTTTTGATAGCGAAGTCAACGCTGAATAGCAAGCAATCTGTTCTTGGGGGGAGGTGGAAGGAGGGAAGGAATGATCTGTGATTGTTTCCATTTTTCTTCCAAATCTTTTGTATCCCTCCACTGGTATGTGAGATTGCATGTCCTTCAGTCTATTGCAAGTCAGGACGAAGTGCTATTTCCTGACAGCCACAACAATTACAATGCAGGTCCATCATTTTATTTCAGAATTATTTTTAGGGGTACAATTAAATAATTGTTACACTAAGGGGTGTAAAAGTTGATGTATTTCAGGGTGTATATCTCTGTCCATATAACCTTGCAGTGGATACTCAGTTTCTCTGTCAGAATGAGTCACTCACAGATATATCTGTAAGAATTCTGGGGATTGTGTGTCTACGGGTATCTTCAGTTTTGTCACCAGTTTTTATTTGTATTATGGAAACATGATGTGTTTGTAGGATGGAGAAGGTATTGCTTATGTAGGTATATAACAGCACCTTGATGATCAGTCTTTCATTTATAAATCCTTGTTTTCAGTGCTTAAAGTCATGGATATAAAAACCAACATGCAAATGAAATGTGGCACATGTAGTCTTAAAGTGAATGATAATTACAGTTAATTAAGCAATAATTGTAGTTAATTAGGCTTAAAATTCATTCTTTGGCTCTGTATGGTAGCAGAAGGCTAAAGTTAGTTCATGAGCTGTCAGTACATTTTTCATAAAGATGCTTTACACACTTGCAGGCTGCAAAAGCACGATAAATGCTGGATTATATAGCAAATTATCCCTTTAAAAAAGGCTATATACAGCTTTCTTTTCATTCACACAACAGTGAAACATTTTGATGAAAAAGCCTTTCCAATCTCTTTCCATTACGTCTGATAAAACTCATTAAGCATATAATGGTATGATGAACTATACAGCTTTGAAGCTATCATAAATGCTTACCATGTTAGAAATCTACAGATGATAAAACTGATTTATTTTTTTCAATTTCCACAGACATGTATTTCTTATTTCTTTTTTCCCCACCAGAACAATTTAAGGGATATACAGTGAGCCATGTAAGGAGGAAATAATTCTCTTTAACATTGCATGTGCCATTGTTGAATCTTGAAAGGCTCCACATCCTGCCACATGAGTTGACCAGGAGATTATTGCTCCAGCTCATCAAGGAATTTTTTTCTCTTTATTTTTCTCTCTCAGCAGAAATTCTTGGAGATGTAGATACAAGTCGTGGTCCAATGCTTATGGCTGAACTGGAATTGCAACCAGTTTCAAATCCTGTTCTGCAAGCAGCCCAACCAAGCTGCAGAGTGACATCTCTCTCAGAGGATCTGTCCCAGGTAAACTCAAAGGATCTTTTCTATGACTAGTCAGAAAGTGCAAACTGAAACTAGGAAAATAAATTTTCCTGTTTCGCTGTGGTCACTGACATCACAGAACTGGTGCATTTAAAGTGACACGTTCAGCTGAGAAACTGAAGTAAAAAATACACGTGTGTAATAAAAATGATTGTGTTTACTGTTACGGAATCCTTGCAATATGCTTTCTGTTAGGCTCAGACCTTCTCTTCTACCTTTTCTGCACTTCCTCTCAACTTCACTGGTGTCACAGGGTCCAATACTATACATACTCAGCTCAGAGGGGGCCTTCCAATATTTTAGGGGCACAGTGCTTCAAATACAGAAGAATAACATGATGGATATATGGGAGAGGAAGCAACAACAGAGGTTTGGCCTCACCAATTGTAACTCACTGATTCAGCATTTCAGGAGCTTCAGTTGTCCTTATAGGGGCAGGATTGGAAAGGCGGTAAGGTTGATGTACCACAGAACACTTGAAGGTAGAGGAAGATCCTATTGATCTCTGCTTGAAACCTATAGAGTTAATCCATTGCTACTTTATTAGTATGTGCTGTTACCTAGAGATGATGATTTACTCACTAACTGAAGATAAATTCAAATAGCGAGTGGCAAAAGCTAAAAATGAGGTGGCAGATTGCTCTTTAATATGTTAAGCTTCACAGTGTGTTTGAAAGTAATAATATACTTGCCATGGTTGCTATGTTCCTGGATACATTCTGTCCTTCCCTGATGTTCTATATTAAAAATAACGTGAAGTATCTTACATTGACCTGTCTTTGGTTTTATGTTTTTGAGCCTTGATGTGTATCATGCCATTGGTGTCTGAACAGTTCTTAATGCGATGTGTTGCATCTTCAAAGAGGATTTCAAATGTTACACCTTTTTCACTTTGAGATCACCGGAACATATTATTTCTTGGAATGATTGTTCACAGGCAAGACTGGATTCTGCTAAACCGCTGTGTCTGTTGGGGTGAATCTCATATCCTTGTTATCGTTTCACCAGCCAAAAGTAAAAGGGGCAGAGAGGGTAAAATATGTTTCCTTCTTTTAGCACCATTAGCTGTGATAAAGAACCCGGTGATACCTGCATCTCATGCTCTGGAGAATTAGCTGATGGGATTAGGATTGATTTTTGTTTGCCTGGGTACAAACAAATGATAATGTACCATGTGTAAGATTACCCATGTACATAGTCTTACCTATGCAAGAAATGTAAGGTGATCTGACATAGTGTCTTTCATAGAAAATACACAGATAGTTACATATTATGTTATCTTTAGAAACTTTTTCTTGCATCTGAACACTTAGTGTGGGTTTTTTTGCCTGCTGACATATAAAACTCACCCTCCCTCCAAACCAAACCAACAAACCCCCAAACTTTATGTGTGTGGTTTTGTTTGGTTTGGTTTTTTCCCCCCAAACAAAATGATCTCTTCCTGTATATGGGTGTTCCCGACATAAGGCTCTAAATCACTGTTTCTCACGGGCTAAATTTTTTGCTTTTCTATGACGTGACCATGCCTATAAGTGATATCCTTGTACCTTGTAAATATCTGTCCAGGATGTGCCAAAGCCATGCTCCATAAGATCCTCTACTAGATCTGTACATCCTTCTCTGAAAAAAAAAAAAATCCCTGTACCAGATGATTTGAAAGCTTGTTTTGACAGCATCTATCTACCATGTAGCAATGATGAACCTTTCCCCTAGTTTCAATTAGGGATGGCATCTGTATTCAGATCTACAGCAGGATCTGCTTTGTCACCTGCCTGTAGGAGACAGATTTTCCGGTAACATAATACCAGCTAAGAGAGCAAGAGATATTCAGGCTTTCAGAAATGATTCATTCTATGCAATGTTTAAGGCGATAGTCACTTTAAACTTCTTAAAAGATTTCCTCCCAAGTTAGTCACTGACTCTCACATCAGTTGTTTCACATCTTGTTTTTCATCTTCAGGCAGTGTTTGTCTTCATTGAAATGAAACTGTATCAGCTACATACGAAGCAAGCAGCAAAACTAGGCTTTTCATGATGTTTACTGAGAAACCTGAGAAAATACAATGTATTTCAGATGGTGTCCAGCTGGGCCTTGGGTTTGGTAGAGCTTTGTCCTGATTTAACTGGGAACGATCCTCCTGGATGTTAGGGTTTGTTATGGCAGAGCTTGGGTGGTTTCTATAATCTGTCTGAACAGGATCCTCATTTCAGGGAGGTTGTGGGCAGTGCTGTGGAGCTGCCATATACTTACCACTTGTTTGCTCCCTGGCACCGGTGTGTAGATCAGATTTTGACCAACAGAAAGAGCATTGTCTTTTCATGTAGGGCAGGAGCAAATGCCTTTTAGTCATGAAAAGTGAAGTCTGTATGGTCACTCACTCCAAAGCAAATGGCTTAAGCCATACAGGAATTTTCTTATCTACCCAAATTTCTTGGCTGCTCCTCCATTTCTGGCATTGGATTTTTTTGAGATTTATATATGCTTTCAGCCACTGTTAGGCAGAATGCCAGGCTAAATGCATCCTTGGTTTGACCCCTTCTGTCCATTCTTGTGCAATGGTACAGGAATTGACTGTTATTTGTGGCCGCTTTGCCCCTGTGCTCTTAGTTCTGAGAAGCAAGAGAATGACTAGGCAGAAGCTGAGCTCTTCCTATTCTAGATGAATCATTTTGATCTTGGGAGGGACATGAACATTGAAGTCATATTTGTGTGGCTAAACATTTCAAAGATGGTAAATCTAAATCATTTGAAGTCTCAAATGCATTGTTAAAATCTTAGAAAATCAGTTAGTTGCAAAATATTTTCCTAATGTTCTTATATAAGTAGAATGTTTTTATACAATCAACATTTTTTAAGTGGGATTGTCACTTTGGTATTCTCATTAGCTTTCATTTTTAGTATTTCAAAAGACATGTTTTTTTAACCTTCAGGAATGCATAATTGTAGGTTATTAATCTATGTGTTATCTCTCAACTTCTGTTTGCACCTCAGTTCAGTTTAAACTGGTTTTTGGTTTGTCGTATTAAAAATCCAAAACAAAATAAAAGAACACTTCAAATGGACTCATGAGTATACTGTTACGCTGCTTACATTTAATGTTCTTTAACATTGGTGGCCTTCGATCACATTTCCATGAGACCTTCCTGCTTTCAGAAAATCATCTCAACTCTTTCTTATCTTGTCAGCTTTAAATGATGGACAGAGTTGGTCAACATCGTGGTGTGTAGAGGTGTCCTAACTGGTCTCTCCATGCACATAGTGCCTTGTGGAGATGCTAGCTTTATCTCAGGTGCATGTATATTCACTTTTGTAAGCTTATGCTTATCACTGTGCTGGTGAAGTTGTGTTGGTGCTTGTTAGAGGTGACATGCTATCCAGTGGTGTAGCCCCCTCTACGCTTTGTTTACTGGGGAGTGTAAACAAGTCCATGCAGCCATTGAGGAAAAGACAGTGACTGAATGGCTTATCTTTTTGCTCCTCCTGATTTTTGCAACACTGGCTTAAGTGATGCCAGTACATGTTAAGTACATGAGAAGCAGTATGTTTACTATTGAGATTCCTGTTATTGTAGGAGGCAGTTGTTAGCCGAAAGAAATGGGAAGCCCTGATTGCGTAGTTGGCACCATGCTCATTGTTTGCCAGACATAACAATTTTCTTTTTGTCTATATTTTTGGCTCTTTGTTTCACTTGTGGCCTCTACAGTAGTGGAGGGTTTCTCTTACAGAACTGACGCATACTTTCCTTTTTTTCCTTTTTAGCTTTTGGGGAGCAAAATACCATTGGTAGTTTGTCATCATGTCTTCAAGAGAATACCTGTGCCATTGCTTCTCAGGGCATATAGTTTTCCCAGAAGTCATACAGCAATTCTGTCTTTAGGCTCCAAATGCTGTGTGATATGCAAACATTTATGATATTTCTTGTGTTCCTCCTTCTTTTAGAATCTTTGTTAAAAAAACCTTATATTCACCTATGGAATCAACAGAATAATGATGAAATCAAATTCGTCTGTCTTAGAGAATGCTTAAGTCTTCTAGGACTCCATGACTTTTGCACTTCTCATGTTTCCTGTCTACATGTAGTGGAATGTCCTTGGGCCACAATTCCTGTTCCAGTTAACACATAAGATAACAAGCGTACTTGACAAATATGATGTCTCCCATTTTAACACACAGAGCGTTTGTTGCTTCTAAGAAACTGTTTTCCTATAGGCATTGTTGCAGACCTAGATCTTGGAGAGCATTTCAGCAAGAGCAGAAAAAGGTTTTAAAAACATGGTCAAGGAAATAAATTTTATACTTGGCCTGGGTTTTCCAACCTGTGTGCTGAAATTTTTATTTTTCTTTTCCCTTTCAACTTCCTCTTTTTACTCAGGGTGGTAATACCTAGGGAGAAGTCCTGGGTATTGAAAAAAGCCAGAGAAATCTTAGGCTCTTTCCGCCACATGCTTTGAGTAGAAACTGAGGCCTTCCTGTGTCTTCAGGTCTAAATGGCACTTTGCCACCTACTGCTCCCAGGATGTTCGTCTAGAGGAACTAGCATTGCAATAGGCTAATTCAGATCTGAATTCTTTTGAAGTCGAAAGGAAGGAGAACAAATGCATATCCTTTAATGAGTCTTTAAAAAACTCTTTGGATGTTTCTTGAAGCTCCACATAATTTCACTGTGCTTTTACATCAAAAGTCATAATTTGTAATATGATTTTAATGTATGATACATAGGAGGAAAGCCGAGGAGCTGCACAATTTGAGACTGTGAGACCCCGAGTTATTCATGTGAGAAGGAAGTCTGAAGAGATGCAACAAGAAGGTAAATCAGTATCAGTAAGCAAACATAGTTCTTTCAGTTAAGCACATCACTTTTAAATGTTGTTGTAAACTGATGTATATTAAAGTTCTGATTTTTAAAAATTTGGTTTTCATTACCAAATTCCCAAAATTTCCAAATATAGTGTGTATAAATCTGTGTACATAGTTACGATATTGCACTGAAAGGATTGGAAATATATCTGTATGTAAGTCGTCAGAATCCTTGCAATTAAGTATTTATTTAAATTTTTATTTGCCAAGAGCATTACAATGTACATATTATGTAGTCAGCTGAATCTTAATTGCTTTACAGAATGCTGTTCAGCAAACAAAATATTCATGATGTTGTGATAGATGGCAGTGGTTCATATGCATAAAAAAATGCAGGGGTACAAGAGGAGAACTGAAAGATAATACAAAGTTAAGATCATGCAAATGTGAAAAAAAAATGGCCTGGTTTGAGATGGACTTCAAGCTAGTGTGTAACAGATAGTGCTTTTCTTTTGTGAAGGACGCTACGTATTATCTATGCATAACCATGCTATTTTTGGAGATTACTTAACAGCGTTTGTTAAAAGCGTTAAGGATGTTGCATGAGAGGGGGAGAATATATTTTGTTTATTGTAGTTCAAGCCAGTGTTGTAATAACATAAACTGTGCATATTACTGCCATATGTAATTGTTTTAGCAGATAATAAGTTTCTAGAGGTGGTAGAGTGAGATATGTAGCAGTTTTAATCTTACGTGCTAAGAACAGGAATCTAAAAACCTGCATATCTACAATATATGCAATTATAAGTGCTCCACCCTATTATAGACAAATTCTTCCTTCAAGCCGTTTTTAAAATAGTTCTTTGAACTTCTTCCACTTAATTTTTTTAAAACATCTAATCGAATTATAATTCTGATGGAATTATTTTGCTTCAAATATTTATAAGTGGTAAGAAAAGCCCTAGGCCAGTGTTATTGGTCATGGGACTTGGAACCTAACTTCAAAATCATGGTTTACATATGAAGAAAGTTATGAATAATGTAAAACTTAGCTTCTATAGACGATTAGTGGAAAAGCTTACAGAACTGAAGTGGCACACCGTAGTGCATGTATATGTTTTGTTGTAGGGACATTTATCAACACACATTTTTAAAGTGGGTAAATAAAGACTTAATTTATTACCATTATTATTATTAGCATTGGTGGAAAATATTGCAATGACTTTTTCTAACAGGAAGAACTGTATTTTTCCTCTGGTGTTCAGAAAATCCAAATTGCCTAAGGAAAGTGAATTTCCAGTAAGTTGAGCATGACCTCTAAATCGTTAAAAAGGAAATTATGTGGCAGGTCTGCCTTGTGGGATTGACCCGCTCCCAACTTTAAAAGCAGTTTTCCTTCATAGCGGTTATAGGAATCTTCCGTTTCTTCTTCTTCCCAACACTTGCTATTAAGCATCAGAGAGAAGGAGGAAAGGGGGGATAGTCTTCCTAACACTGTACTTCATGCTTTTACACCTCAACTTTGTCTCAAAGTGTTAAAACGACAGCACTTCCAGCCTGTAACACTGAGTAGGGTGTTAGAGAGGGCTGGAAATGGAGTAGAATATTTTTTATTAAATCTCTTGTTTTCTGGAATATTTATCTTTAAAAAAACCCCTTACCTCTACTGTAATACAAGGTCATAATACTGTAATACTGTGTGTCAGATGAAAATGTTTGACCACGAGATGGCAGTAGTCAATTTTCTTTGAGAGGAACAAAAAAAAAGATTATTTATATACCAGGATAATTTAAATCTCATTCAAAGTATACATATTTAATGAGCCAATAAAAATCTAGAGGATTTGCAAATGGAAACAACTGTCTGTCAGTTTTAACCAGAAGGTCTTGTCTCTATAAGCTTCACCACAGCAAACTTAATCAGTCAAAAAGTTGAGGGTAAAAATTAATAAGAACCATTTGAAAGAAAAATGAAAACTTGCAACATGATAAGTATACATGGGTTTAAGGAAATACAACATTTTAAAATTAAGCACATCTGTTACTTTAAGTTCAAAGCACCCTGTTTATAAAAACTTCATGTCAAACAGTTGCCTTTACCGAGATAGCAAGGGACAATGAGTACTTGCCTGAAAATGGAGAAGCATTTCAGAGGCAGGACTATTTAGGTATTTTTTCAGAGTTTAGAGAGTAAGGGGTTGTATTGGTATTAGAGCTTAGAAAATCTGGAGCCCTGAAATGAAGTGTGAATTCAGGATGTTGGGAGAAAAGGGAAATTGTTTTGGACTGAGTTGGATGTAAAAAAACCTTTTTTTTATTCAATTGATAAATACATGACAAGATTTGATTAATCTTTTGTCTATGGTCATAAGTATATATGTGATAGAGCTTTCTTTTGTTGTTTAAAAAATTTTTGTGGTCTACAGTGAACATGTGTTTTTACTGAAAAGTAAGTTGATTGATGTCTTCTAATGAAAGTTGAAGTTCAGTAGGACTGTTACAATATCATGCCTGAAAGGGTAATGTCTCCTGAAAGTTACAACTGAAAATAAAGCCTGAATGTATTATTAATTGAAATGTGTGCCTTCTCTAGACATAGCGGAGTCAGTGGTTTGAAAACATATATTTGTAGTATATAATATACATGCATATATATTTTGGGCTTTATAATACCCTTTAATCTTTGTACCATTCTTTCATAAATCTTCATAAATTTAATATGATAATAATTGTTGTGGTTGGTGAATGCACATATTTCCAGAATACAAGCATTTTCAGGCTTACATTAACATGATTCAGAATTTTTAAATTAAAATGAAAGAACAGGTGGCAATGCTTGACTGCAGAGCATTTTTAAACTTTAATATGAGCAGCTCAGAACCAAGAGGTAGATGTATCTTCACTTAATTATTTTTCTACAGCACAGACTGTCAAAATGTGACCTAGAGAGCACAACTTCATGATAGTAATTCCTTTTTATCTCCAGCTAGTGAATTATATTCAGGCAGCCATAAGCACATGGGAAAGTAATATTGGGACACTAAGCAATTGGCTTTGTTGCCACAGAGAGATTGCACAATTGCTTGTGGGAGGAGATGATCTGAGCAATAAATGAATAAGAGGGCAAGAAGCCCTTAAAACAATCTGTATAAAAAATAAAGCTTCCAGAGTCCCTGTTCGGTATTGAAGATGGACTAGTTCTGTGTTAACATTGACATTATGCTGTATTGAAAACTGTAGTATTGAAAATATGGGTATAACTAAATACTTCTTTGCCTCTCTTCTTCAGCCAGACATTGCTCTCAGTTAGGTTTTGGGTTATTTTTTCTTAAAACTATTGTGGCATGAGGCAAATCTCTAACAGATGTTTCAAGGAAGGAAGAAGATTAGGATAAGGCTAAAGGTCTTTATTTTTTTCTTGGAACTGGAACTGTTTTGGTCAAACTCTTAACAACTATTCTACTGAAAGTTTACTTTCTCCTTAATATCCTGCTGTTTCTTTTTTTGGACTCAATTTCACGAAAGGCTTTTGCTAAAGACTGTCCATACCACCCTGAAAATAGCAGCTAGTGAAGCAAAACGGAGCTATTCTTTCACGCTGTAGACAGTACCACTGAGAGGTAGGAATAGTTTGCATAGCCTACATTGCTCCTTTTGACTAATTTCTGAGAGAAGATCTTGGAAATTGAAGTCATGAAATCAATTAGCTATAATTATGGCATTTTTCAAGCAAATGTCCTCTTAGAGGTTTATGTAAGTTTTTCAGTACTTCTTCAGAACTCTTATTTCTGTCTATTTTGATTCTGGTTTTCCTATATAGTTACCTCCCTGTGCTATCAGATGGCTCATTGACATAATTCAGTTAATATATTTTACATTCGGGCAAGTCATGAAATGCAAAGCTGCGTTTCCCACAGAAACTCTGTCTTTTCTGTAAGTAGTCATTAGCTTTTAGGTCCTCCAAGTGGTTTAGAACATCAGTTCTCAAAGAGTTTTCGTTTGCTTTTTCGGCACGTGACCACAGCAGTTACTCCCATGCATCAGAAAACATGCATCTGAATAATAATGCATTTTGCATATTATCCCTGCATAAAATCCTCAGTAGCCACACTTGAGAGTTTCTAGTTCAAATTGCTGTAAGTCAATATTTAGCTGTGTTACAGAACATTTGGAACAGGAGTTTTGAATTTCTTGGCTTTTGTAAATATTATTTAACTGTTAAGAAGTGCCATTTATAACTATGGTTGCTTCTTTCCCCACTGAGTTACTTCAGTTATTTTTCAGACAAAATATTAAAACAGAAGTTTGATTTTTCATAGCTTAAGGCAAAGTCTTGTATAGAATTGTTGTTGTAGACAATGATGTCCTTCTGCTGTGGGTGTGTTCTGCTGCTTCAAGTTAGGGTCCTGAGAAACCAAGCACCAAGAACTGCTGTGGGTTTCATGTGACTGTGTACATCCTTGCACCCATTCCCAGAAGATCTGTTTCTGGGAAGTGATTCTCCAGTCTCCTAGACCTGTCATTTCTTCCCCTCACTTACTTGTGCAAAAGACATGAACAACAGGAACTTACAGCAGGTGAAGCACAAATCTCCCTGGTATGTTTTTTAGACTCCTAGAATGTAATTTGATTTTTTGAGGCATCTAAGTTAATTGAAATCCAAGTAATCAGATAGAGAAATGAAAAACCAAAAAAAAACCAGTTTATACTTAAAGAAAACTGTATCAAGCCAGCTCATATTGCCTTGCAGTTAGGATTTCCTACTGACTGGCATGCTCGGGTAGAAGTCATTTTCCTCTGGTGTCCAGTTCCACACCACGTTATCACCTTTTCTTACGGATCTACATGCATTAGGTTTTTGTTCACTTGGCAATTTTCTTCAACTTCTAAGAGGTTGAGAGTCAGTTCTCCTCTTACTGCATGCCTCCTTAAATGGCACAGAGGGATACAGTGCTCTCTCACTGCTGCAGCATTGTCAAGGCATTTCTCTGACCTTGTGCTGAGGCTTTTGCTGTGGGAGGTATGCGCAAAGGCAGAAAACTTCCCCGTGTCGTCTTCCCTTGGTGCCTGTACAGATGATGCTTTACACCCATCACGAAATCTGCACAGCTTTGTATACCTTCGAGTTTCCCCTGTACAGTCCTCATGAGAATCAACTCCTGCTCCGTGCTGCATGTGGGTATAGTTAATCTTTGGAGGGGAGGTATTTTGCACTTTTGATACAGTAAAAAGCATAAATCAGGAAACCTTCCAGTGCGGGCTTAAGGAGTGCTTCTGCTCAGAAGTTTTAAGTTAAGGAGGTGAGACTGGCATCTGTAGGCTCATTGCTTAAGCAGGTGAAAGTAGTTACAGTTGCTCCTTTCTCCCTTTTGATCTGATTTCTGCATTTAAATTACAGTTACTTCGCTGAAGTTCAGGGTGTATTCCTGTACCAAGTCCCTCCTCTGGTCTGTACACAGTAGCAGTTTTTTTCTGCGAAAAGGGAAAGAAAAACTTATTCAAACTGACATGATCAGTACTTAAAGGATTACTTCCTATGGAGACTGTCAAATATTTGGATTTTTACTTGTCTTTTTTCAGATTTACTGGGGTGCAAGATAAATATC